AAAGACTATCACAAAGCGAGCCACCCCCCCCCCTCAGCCCCTGATGTTCAGATGCTCTCTCTGCGCTTAGGATAAAGTCCATGGCAGCAGCACTACCCATGAGGCCCTGGTAATGTGATCTCAGCCAACCTCCCCGTTTTCGTCCCTTTCTACTGATAGTCATGCTGAATCCCCTCTGTGGTCTGAATCCCTTTTGTGTCTCCACCCTGATACCCTCTGTCCCTGCAGGGCTACATGCTCTCCCTTTGCTTCTCTTACTTCTCCTTAACCCTTAAGTTACTACTTAACTTAACTCTTAACTACTCTCTGAGACTAGATTCCCTCACAAACACGTACAGGTGCATGTCCTTGTCATGTGCCCAGACTACTCTGAGCAGACCTCTGTCACAGTGCAGCTTCCATAGGAGGCTGACAGCTCTCAGGGGGGAAGGACTATTGCATTTTGAGACCTGGTGACTTAGCACTGTACCTGTTGTCTATTAGGTGCTCAATAAATGACCACTGCAGGGCTATTTCAAGAAGCCTGCAATTAAGGTGAGTATTGTTCAGAGGCCTTAGGAGATTTGTTCAGGATATAAACTATAAAAAAAAAAAAAGATGCTGTGATTAACCTTAACCTTGACTGGATTAAGGAGTGCCTGGGAATTTAGTTATCCCCATCCCTGTGTTGTGAGGGGAGCTCTTGAGAGAGAGAGAGGGTTAGACTGGGATGTCATCTCTAGAGATGTTAGATTGTAGGGTTCATCTCTAGAGATGGCAAGATGGCAGGACACATCTCTAGAGATTATTAAATTGGAGTGTCATCTCTAGAGAGTTAGATTGTAGGGGGCATCTTTAGGGATAGTTTGGGGGTCATCTCTAGAGATGGCTAGATTGAGGGGCATATCTTCAGATGATCAGATGGTGGATCATTCATGGAATGAAGATAATACTGGATTGTTGGGTTCAATCACAGGATGGCATTAGGAGCAGGTGGTGAAAGGTGGGCTTGGAGTTTTGTTGGAAAAAGTAGGTCTTAGGGGTCTTTCTCCAGGGAGGCTTTATCTTTTGTGACCTCCTCCTAAATGCTCTTTGATCATTTCTTGACTTTCAAGAAGTTAAAAACCTTTTCCACATATTTCTGCCATCATGATGTTATGTCCAAGTATGTGGGACCATAAAACATTTAGAAACCACGAGGCAAACTAACTCTTCCTCCTATTAATTATTTCTGTCAGTTATTTTGGGCACATGGACAAATAAGACCTTTCCTTCCAAGTTCCTTCTGATGATGGTCTTTATCACAGCAATAGAAAACAACCAAGACACATATTCAGCAGCTGATTGAAGCAAGAGTTGCCAGCTTGCCCAGACTTAGTAAGCAACCCCAGAATCAAGAGCTGACAGATGGTTCTGTTTTAAGCTACAGCATCCATTCCTGTGCATTAAAAGGTAACACGTATGAAGTATGTTTCGGGAGTGCAGTGCTTTTGTGGCAAACCCATGAAACTTGGAGCTGGCTGTGGATCTGGATCTGGGTATAGGCTGCAAAAAATTATCAGCAGGGGTTGGCAAATGGGTTCAGACAGTGATGGATTTCTACAGTTTAAACACTTAGGAATACATACCCATTTTAAAGCTCCCTTGTGATCAGCAATAAGAGGTACAGCAGCTAGACCCGAGGACTGATGTGTTTTTTTTTTGTTTTTGTTTTTGTTTTTTTTGTTTTTTTTCACTAGACCTGAAGCAATGTTGGCATTCTCTAAAAGCAGGGGAGAGCCTCCAAACCTGAGAAGACAGAGTCTGGGGGTCAGAAAATAACCTTCTATCTATCAGTGGCTTTGCCACCACCCAGCTGTGGAAGCAGCTGTGGAAGCAGCTGTGGAAGCAGCTGTGGAAGCAGCTGTGGAAGCAGCTGTGGAAGCAGCTGTGGAAGCAGCTGTGGAAGCAGCTGTGGAGTCCCAACCTACAGGTATGGGAGCAATCTCTGGTTTGTTGGTTTACTGTTGACTGCAAACAGGATGATGAATGGGCAGACTGTGACACTGCCGAAAACCTAGTCATGGAAATGTTTGTCATTATCTCCTCAATTGCAGGCTACCAACACAAATGACCTCAGATGAAGAGTGTGGAGAATCCCAGAGGGTGCTATGAGGTTAAAATTTCAGGAGATCTGTTAGGGCCCAAAGGACTTTGAGAGGTAGAGACAGGTCTGCTGGGAAGGCCTACTTATCCAAATGACATTGGTATAAAAAAAAAAAATGAGCAGTATTTAACCCCCTGTGGCACCTATTGTGAGCAAGCATAGAGGTGAGAACCCATTATTCGTTCATGTAACTTTGACTTTTAGGTTCCTTCTGACCGGCAGTGAGGAGGTCCAAAGGAGACCCTTCCTGTCTAAGGACTTGATTCCTCTTTCATGCACAGTCATTAGTTTGTTTGTCAAGAAAAATGTCTCCATCAGACTGGCCTGTGGGCAAATCTGTGGGACATTTTCTCAATTAATGATAGATGTTGGAGGGCCCAGCCCACTGTGTGTGGAGCCAATACTGTGCAGGAGGGCTTGGGTTGTGTGGAAAAACAAGATGAGCATTTGGAGATGAGCCAGGAAGCAGCATGCCTCCACCGTCTCTGTTTCTGTCCCTGCCTCCAGGTGCCTGTGTTGAGTTCCTTCTTTGACTTCCCTTCCTGATGCACTGTGATCAGGTTGATTAAGCCAAATAAATCTGTCCTGCCAACCACCACCACCACCACCACCCCCCGCCCCAGTTGCTTTTGCTAGTGGTTTCTTTATCACGGCAATAGAGAGCAAACTAATACAAACAGGGGTAGCTCTTGAAACTCAATTTTCTGCCTGTTTACCAATGATTAACTGCAGCAATCAATTGTGTCAAAGTTCAGGTCAGCTGCATCCTTTGGGGATGTTGGTGGGACAGTGGCTTGTGTTTGAGTTAATGGTAACTATAATGTGAACAGCTTGGTGTACTGTTGTGCCTCTGCTCTGTTCTGTGGGCACAGTGAATATGAGGGGACCACTATGTTCCCAAAATGTCCCTCCACCCCTTCTCTGCATGCTCAACCCAAGCCCAGCTACTGCCACAGACACAGAGGGGTGGTGGGCTGGGAAAGCACCCCGACTTGTATTCAGAAATACATTAAGGGTCTCATATTCTAGACAACCTAAGGGATGGATGCCAATGAATGGTCTCTGCTTTACAGAGAAGACAGATTGGGAACAATACGTAGCAACAAATAATACCAAATGCCTTTTGTAGCAGCAAATAATACCAAATGCCTTTTCTATCCTATACTCATGTGTTACATGACCACCTCTCCCAAGTGTCCTCACCAAGTTCCCAACTTGCTGCTGTCTCCAGGTTGGAATCAGGACCAGAGTCTAAGAAGGACTGAAATGTGTAAATACCCATTTATGTATGGTCATAGACTATCTGGCTGGAGCTTCTTTTCCTTCCTTCCTTTCTTCCTCCCTTCTTCCTTTTTCCCCTATGTGTGTTGTGTGTACAACCATCTGTGTGCAGAAGTCAGAGGAGGGCACTGGGTGTCCTCCTTTACCATTCTCTATCTTCCTTCAGGACAGGGTCTCCTGGGTTCTGGAGATTGTACTCGCTATGGGTGCTTGTGACCATACCGAGTGGACTTTTGGGTTTGGGGTTGTTTTTAAACATGGCTACTGAAGATCAGAGCTTAGTCTTCCACTGGCACACGTGCCCTTACATCCCGAGCCATCTCCCTAGACTCCGAGAAGCATTCCTAGAGGTTTTAAGGTAAGTGGGATTGTGCTATTCTAGAGTGCTTATGTCTGGTCTTTCCTTTAAGTTGCCTGAACAGGGAGGGGTGGCAGGTGTACCTGGCCACCCTGAGCAACAGAAAGCTGTGAATGGGGATGGCCAGCCTCTTGGGCACAAATAATAGACTTAGGGTTGTGAGTGATACCTGCCTTGACTGTGTTCGGCCCTAGAGAAGGAATCAGGGTTTCTATAATCTGGAAAGTGAGGAAAGTGGTAGGTGAAGAGTCTGGTACCCACCCAGGTATATTGCCCGTGGCTCTTAACGGTCTCCAGCACATATTAGAGACAAATGTTGAATTTTCCTCAACCAATGCCCGCTGAACTTTACTCCCCAGCGAGGTCAGGGCCTGATTCCTCATTAACGAGACACTACAGAAGCTGTGTCAATGCCCCAATACGTATTTGGGTATTTTCTTAAAATTATAATTTTTGCAATACCTCTTCACATTTAATGTCTCATCTAATTCTTCCAGCTCTGATCAAATTCTTCCAGCATTTGATCAAGAGGAAACAGAGAATGTCAGCTGTGTATGGAGAGTACATGGTACCTGCCTGGCAGGGCTCACCATGTTCTGAAGATTTAAATGTACTTATGGTTTGTTTGTTTTTTTTTAATATTCTATTAGTATATACTAATCATCATAGCTGTGGGCTTCACTGTGACATTTTCATGCATATTTTAATGTATCTCCTATCACCTTCCCACTGACCCCATCAGCACAGCCCTGGGAGATGGTTAGCACTGTGGTTATCTCTTTTATGGACAGGGCAGTTTGTGTTCTGGGTAACACAGCTGAGAATCATATAGAAAGCATTTGAACTCAGATGGAAATCAGATAGAGGAAATTCAAAGTCTGGGCTCTGGAGCCCTGCTATTGTCACTACAAACCTGGGGCTCAGACCCAGGGCCATTTAGCTTCAGACCCTGTAGTCCATTTACTGAGAACAGAAGATGTGTCTGAGCAGCCAATATGTGCCCGCGCTCACTACTTTCCCTGTATTAACTTACCTAACCCTCACCGTGTTGGGGAGGCGATGGTATGTGGCTACCTGAGGTAGGTACAGGTAAGGTAACTAGCATGGCATCATCACGGTTTTCCTCACTGCCGCTGGTTTGCAGCACGGCGACTGAGTACACTCCTATTGTGCAAAGTCGACTGGGGTTCCAGGCACTGGCTCCTGTTTGCTTTGCTGAGTTGTTTGCTCTGTGGGAACAGAACTGAAAGTAGCAATCGTGAATAGGTTTTTCATGTGTCCGGGAGCCTCCCTGGAGCTCCTGTGGCACAGACAACATGAAAACAAGGGCTCAGGCTTGGAGGACACCAGCAGAATCATGGCTTCTCTGGGCTGCCCTGGTATGTCTCCATTTCCTTGGTTCCAGGTAAGTGATGGGTACAAATGAGTCTCTGATCAATCATGTGGCAGAAAGCCAAATAACGCTGACCAATTCCGCCACATTCCTGTGGGCAGAGAACAGCTCTTAAAGCAATTTTCATGGGCCTGATAAAATAAGATCAACAATTCCTTCCGAATTATTATGGACCCAAGTGACTGGCCTCAACAAAAGCGCCTGTTAAAGAGCTGACATGTTTAAATGCATTCTGTCACGCTGAGAATAGGATACATTCTATATCCTGAATGAAGCTTTGGTCTGGCTCTTTATGCAAGGAAGGGTTTATTATATAATGAAAAATGAGCCAGTTCACATGGAATGATCTTAATAAATGGCAGTGTCTCGGTCTATCTGCTCAGCAGCCCAGTATACCTAGGGTGTGCGGGTTTCTCAAACTCTCGCTTTCCCTCTTCCTCTATGTTCCCTTCTCCCTCTCTCACAGATGTTTGTTCCCAGGACCAAAAGAACTGATTTATTTTATCAAAGCTTCCATTCATAGGATATGAAACAGGTAAAGGAAATGATCTTAGTCAGGGCTCAAACTCGAGCTCCAGAGAAACGTGTGCCAGAGCTGGCTGAAGACCCTCATGAGCAGTTGTGCCTGAGCAGTTCCCACCACAAGATGTGGAAGTGCTCAGGTACCTGAATGCTCATGAGCACTACTACGGGAAGAGAGAGGTAAAGACCTTTTTTACCCCCAAACTGCTCACTGGTAGTAACCTCTCATTACATTAGCACTACCTGTTCCCTGTGCTCTCTGTTCTGAGATCTGCATTAGCTATTCAGACTCTATTAAGCATCTTCCCAGGGACCAGAATTTTGAGTCTTCACCCACCAGACACTCCAGTGTAGAAGGAATCTTTTCTGTATTGTATGGATGCAACAACCTGTCAATTAAGAAAAACCTATGGCCTATGGCTGACGAAGGAAATAGGTGGGACTTCTGGCAGGCAGAAGGGATTCTGGGATAGAGCCAGGTGGTGATATTCAGCTGTCTAGATGTAAGGAAGGTGAATGCATGGTGCCTAAGCTCAGGTAACCAGCCACATGGCATAACTTAGATTAGTATAGTGGGTTAATTTAAGTTATGAGCTAGTCAGACAAGATCCTACTACATGGCCTAGGTATTTTTATATATTTAATGAGTTTCATGAGCTGTTATTCCAGGAGCTAAGGGACAGGAAGCAAAACTACAAGCAACATAATGGCATCCTACTACTATACTCCAGTACTCAATATTCAGAATTAGTGTGACCTGCAACTTGGTGAAGGGACCAACTCTGCAGCCGAGACTTTCCATACATTTACTTCTGGGCACAGAGAGCTCAGCTGTACCCAGTGAAATGTGCCTGGGGGAGAGGGCTCATACAACCCTTCCAGAAGCAGCATGTCCCTGTACATAGCCCCTTGATTGCCCTGGATGATACAGAGCTGAATAAGACCCAAACTCATGTTCTCAGGGAACCTGGCAATGTGAGAGCAAGTACCAAGATTTGTAAGAGTTGGTACTGGGACAAATAGCAATCAAGGAGGAGAGTGACAGGTCCTCCTGAGCAGGGGCTCTGGCAAGGGGCGAAGGGTGTGCCAGGCAGAGATAACAGCATTTGCAAAGGCATGGAGTTGTGAGGGAGCCTGTCTTGTTCCCAAGGTTCCGGGTATATTTTGATCTTACTGGGTAGACACCAAGTCGGGAAATGTGAAGAGGAGGAGGAATAAAAAGTTGGGGAATCGAACCGTATCCTTCAGGCACAAGGTTTAAAGAGAAGGAGTAGCGTAATGGGGTGTCTGTATTGGCATGTTCCCTTTGAAGTGGAGGCTGGAGTTTCACCAGGTTTCAAAAGTGCAGGCTGGGAAACTCACGGCTGTGTCATGTGAGGAAGGAGGTGGCCCCTTGTTCTCACTCTGTGGAAGGACTAACTGATCCCCAGAGGGGAGAAGAGAATGGCTCACACTCAGTGAGCCTTCAGCCCTTCCCTGAATCCTGGTTGAATATTCTGCTCTTCACCCGTGACTTTTACACGCCAGTGCTGAATGCAACATGCCTTTTGGGTATCAGATGCAAAAAGCAAAAGAAAAATAGTCTGTGCAGGGGCAGAAAGGCCTGCAACCTCCTTCATCGGGTAAAGTGTGTCATTTCATTTGCTCAGGTCACATTGTCATATGGCCTATTGATCATTATTGATTGTCACTTTGTTGCGCTCTCATCCTCACAGTCTTTCTATTTCTTACAGTTGTAGAGAAAAGGAAACTGAGGCCTGAAGACTGTGTGATTCTCCAGGCTACTCAGTCCATTTGTGGGGGTGGGGGGTGTCAGAACTCAAACATCCTCTCTGCTTTTTGCCTCTTATTAGCACACTGTCCCTTCCACCTGACTTGCTGGATACCTAGGATGTTTCACTGGAAACATTTGCTACTTCGAGATGTTGCTTTAAATTGCAACAGCAAGTGACAGAGAGAAATGGGAAACCTTTTCCCCCAGCAACCTCCTCCCCCCAGCGAAACAGAAGATGCTGTTTGCACAGGGATGTAGCTGCTGAACAAATAGTGTGTGACAAGAAAGTTGTGGTGTCAGGGCATTTCCACAGAAAGCCAAAATATATTGATGTGACCCATCCGTATAAGCTGAGGCCTGGAAATTTACTGCTGACCTAATCCTGCTGAGCCTGATGGATCCATCTTTATTTTGATCAGAGAAAAGAGGGTAGGAGACCTGGACCCAGAATGATGTGTCCTAAGGCTGGCAACAATGTTCTGTGCACCCCAAAGAAAGGATTGTCTGTGCCAGCATTTTCTCAGAAGGGGCATATTTCCAGGGCAGGGTAAAAGGCTGCTTATACTAACACTTTTTTTTTTAATTGCAAAATGTGTTGTTAGAACACGAATATATCTCAGAAGAATCAGTGAAATGCAGGAGATGTTCTAGGGTGGACCATCCAGAGGAGAGAAGGGAACGAGGTCCCTTTGGGAATCAATGTGGATCTGGCCGACGTGGACGGTCGGGAGCCAGGTGCGGAGCCATGCCCAAGGGCTCGGCAAAGCACGGGGAGGTGAAGCTGCACGCTGCTGCGCACGTGTGCAAGAGCATTTTCAAGACGCTGGAATGGCACACAGCATGTCTGTGACAGTTGTTGCTTCTGAAGGGGATGGTAAACAAGGATGAGACCAAGGCTGATATAAAACTCAGATGCCTGCCTCCTGGAAATACCTTTTAGTTAAAGACCATGCAAGTGTGCCAAAGGATTGACAGAGGGTTCAATGTGGGTGTTGGTGGTGGGGGGGACTGAGTTATTATTCATTTCCACTCTCGGGGCAGTTTGTGTTACAGAGGAGTGGGGCTTTGCATTTGTGTCTGTTGATTGCGTGTCGGGCTTTCATTATGGCAGTTCCATACATGTTCATAATATACCATGACCGGATGCACTGCCTCTATTACTCTTTCTTATCTGCTCTCCCCATACGGCGGCGTCTCGGCAGAGCTGAGCCAGCGTGTTTGTTTCTCTAGGGATTCCTCGGGGTGGAAGGTGCACACAGAGGCATGTCGAGGTCTCGATTGGACCTGTCGTCTGTGCAGCTCCGTGGCCGTTCTCAGATTCAGTATGTGTCTCAACACTAGCCAGCCTTTTTAGATTTGCATTTTGTAGCGCTAACATACCACCCTTATCCAATGTAATTTACAAACAGACTATTTATTCGGCTGATTAGCCCATTATATTGCCACCTCTGTAATGGAAACTGGGTGTAAAAATGAGAGATCGGATACTTACAACTCCTTCTCACAAGTTCCTCTGTAGGCCATCATGCTGCCCATTAATAGGCTCTGAAATCTCAGAGAGGAAAATAACTGTGACTCTTAATAGTGACTGTGCACATTACTTTTCCACTCCGTCTCCACTGTGGCCCCAGATTGGATTGATACTTGGAATAAAACAGTGTAAATGCTTTGTAGTTGGAATAGGAAGAGGGTACCCCGCAGAGCTGTCAAATACATACTTAGGAGAAGCCAAATCACAGGCAGTATTGTTTTGTCAAACCGGAGCAAATTAGTAGAGAGGAGTCCATCGGAGGGTCCCTGCTGGTGTGCGGCATCCTGTCTCAGTAACCACTTTCAGGTACCCGCCTGTGGTTTCCAGTAGAGTCTTTGACCTTTTGTTAAAGATCCAACTTGACTAGGCAATTGATTTTTGCCAGTCTCTGGGGCAGTCATAGAAATGGAGCTCACAGTAGTTAATATCATCCTCCTTTTAGGACTTCTGCCAAGTGAGAATGTGTTGTTAATGACCTTGTTTGGGGTGACATCCTGTGTGCTTGACAGTGGAGGCTTTGTGATGTTTCCCCTAATGACTTAATCTTAGAGACAGGGATGAACCAAGTCTTGCGGACATTTGTAGAGATGGTGGTGGCAGGTGGCTGGAGTGGCTGCAGATTGGATTGGCTTCCAGACACCGTGGGGCGAGGGACAGAGTGCACGCATGCTCAGGATCAGACAGACGTAACAATACTTCGATCCTGGCACAACTGTATACCAGTTTCACTGCAGCAGGCATGTTGTGTCTCTCTGAGCCACTTCAGCATCTGTCCAGGTGATGGCGTTCCATGGTCACCTTCTAGTGCATCTTGCGGGATGGGAGGAAAGCATAAGAAAACACCTCACACCTTGCTTAGGTCTGACATCCTAGGCCCTCAACAAATCTCCATCCCTTTCTTCCTCTCAGCTCCTGTTTAGCTTAAAAAAAAAAAAAAAAAAGTACAAGTTACAAGGGATCTTATATACATTCATGGGAAGAGAGAAAAAAGAATCATAGTACAACTACCATGTTCTAAGTAGGAAAACTGAGGCTCATGTGGATGGGATGAGTTCATTCATTCACTGGGCTCAGCTGTGGGCCAGGGACTCAACAGACAGCCTCGCTTACATTGCAGACATATTTCAGTTCCCATGTTGCTTGTCTGTGCTGAAGGTGTGATTCCTCTGCCCTCTGCCCATTTTATGCTGCAACTCATCTCCACAGATGCTTCATGCCCCATCTTGCTCAACTTGACACCGGCTCCCCTCCTCTTCTGAATCACTGATGCTCCCCAAAGCACTTGTCCTCGGTGTGGTGGTTTGAATGAGAAAATGGCCTATAGGCTCAGATGTTTGACTACTTGGCCCCCCGTTGGTGGTGATGTTTGGGTAGTCTCAGGAGGTGTGTATTGATGGAATATGTACATCACTGGGGCCCAGGATTGAGGTTTTAAAGCCTTGTGCCATTTTCAGTTTGCCGCCTTCTGCTTCTCACTATGCTTCAAGCCCTCAGCTTCTACTCTAGCTGCTGTGTCTGCTCCTTGCTCCCCATCATAATGGTATCTTACTCCCTTGGAAATGTGAGGCAAATGAACCGTTCTGTAAGTTGCCTTAGCCATGGTATTTTATCACAATGGAAAAGTAGGAAACTAACTAATATGCTTGCCCTGCTTCTATCAAAAGAGTCCAGCCATTTCCCTCTTTAGTTTCCCATGATCAGCTCTGTATCGCTAGCACAGGCATCCCTTTCTGATTTCAGACCCAGAAAGAACTGTGTCCTGCATGATTTTATGTGGCTATCCCACAGGCACCTAGAGCTTAGCCCGCCATCTTCCCCAACACCTGTGTCCTCCTGAGTCCCCACCGCCTAGGCATCCAAGGATATGAGCATCAGCCTGAACGCTTTCCTTCCTCTCTTACCCCTCCTGCCCATGCACTTCCTGACCACTCTAACATTTCCACCTGAGAACTTGCCGATTCCTCTACCCTGGCCTTGCTGTAGTTCAGGTTCACATCATGTACTGGGATTCCTGGACCAGCCTCTCACTGTCTCCCCAGCCTCCAGACTCAGTTAATGCACAACTGACCTCCCCACATCCTCAAACCCAGCTCTGGCCATGGGGCCTGCATAGATTAAACTATTGCCTCCCGGGCAAAATTCCCTAGAGCTAAGGTGCAAGACACATTTCTTTTCAAAGCTGTCCTCATGCTATATCCCCTGAAACCTAAGATCTTCAGTATCAGTTGTTCTAAGCAAATATTTCACGGACTTTTAATGCGGAAAGGCATCATCTAGGACAAACCTTTCCATCTCCAGAGGATAAAAAAGAGGCTCAGAGTTAGGCAATGAGTTGCTATGATGGGATTTCTCATGTACCCACAGCCCATAAGGCTTTGTTAAGAGCTCACCTATTGACCATCATTTATAATCCAGAAACAGCCACATTAGAGAATACATCTCAGCCACTGTTTGGAGGAGAAAAGGGAAGCTCACTCAGATTGAACATCAGAGTCCACAAGCTGCTGAGACACCGTCTTCTAAGCAGAGTTCAGTACTCTTTACCAGACTAGTCCTAATGTCAGGACTCGTCTGACATTAGGAGGCTCAATCCATGTTTGTTAGATGGCTTAACTAGTACTGAAATGATAAACTACCTACCTTGTGCTCGTGATCCGACCTACATTTATTGGGTGAATAATTGATGGGTGATGGGAAATGCCGTTTCCTTACGATGCTCAGTTCTTCTCTTACGATGATTTTTAGGGGTGAGAAGCCCGATTTCTTGGAGACAAATGCAGTCAACGGGAGCCTTGTCAAGAGCAGACCAGTGCGGAGCGTAGAGGTCACCCCAGCACCTGTGGACTGTGAGCTATCCAGCTGGTCCTCCTGGACTGCGTGTGACCCCTGTCAGAAGAAAAGGGTAAGATCCCAGGCCTTGGGTGAAAACTAAATTTCTGGGCAGATGTGTAAGGTAGAGAAGGAGACTAGTTGTGAACAAGGCAGGCAGAGGCACTGATGGTGGTCCGTGGCCGTGGTTTGCCTTTAAGATGGTAGCTGTTGAGGTGACTCTCCTTTCCCTGTGCTTTCAACAGCCAACAGGTGCTCCCTTTCGTATGCCAATGTTTTCCACACAGCTGTCTTAACAGCTTCCTGCCTCTAACCTGCTCTTTCTAGCCATCATTCACAGGGCAGCCAGGGACACGACCACAAAGCTGCCCACTCTTTCCCCAAAAGAACCCTGAGGATCAAGGCCAGACTTCTGTGTCACCTAACCTGGCCTTGTCTCTGTGACCTATCAGCTCTCTCATTTTTCCAGCAGTGTCACTCCCTCTCTGTCTCTCGTCATGTTGTTTTCTCGGCCAGCAATGACCTTCCCCACTGCCTTCACTTACTGACATGTCTCAGAACTGGAAACTCTGCTCAAGGCAACCTCTTCTGTGAAGCCTTCCCTGACTGCACATCAGCCCCAGCTCCATGTAGAAAAAGCAACTTTTACATGCTTCTCTAGGACCCTCCTCCCCTGTATCCTAGCATATGTCATACTGTGATTTTTGTCATTTACTGCCCTAAACAGAAAACTTGTAAAACTTTTAGTTCTGTCGTAAGTGTGCATGCATGTAACAGGAGCTTCATAATTCTCTTCTATTTGAGCTCATTCTGCTTTCTGATGTCTTTGCAAGGGAAAGAAGGTGGCTGCCACATTCTCTGTAGACAGGTGAATGGAGACTTAGAGTGGGTAAAGTGGCTTCTTGGAGCCTCTAGCAGCAGATACAAGCCTCAGCTCAGGCCATGGGTCCTTACTGACTTTTCTGCCTGTAGAACTAGTCTCCAGCTCCCTTCGCTTCAACTCCCTTATAATGGGAGAGCTGACCCAAGACCCCAGCTCTGAACAAAGCAGACATGCCAGATAAAAGAAAGAGAGAGGGAATGGTTGCCATTCCCTTGGCTCCTTGGGAACCCAGACCTATCATGGCAAAGACTCTGAAGAGGCTGAGGAAGTTAGCCCAGGACAATTACACAGTTAATTGGATCAATGGGGAGAGCCGAGCACTATCATTGTCTTCCCAGAGTAGGCTTTCTTGCTGAACTTGTCAACATTGATCCAATTATCTGGATAATTGCCTCATCTGCACCATAAACCAGAAGGACTGAGCATGAGCCAGCCAGTCAGAGATGCTCCCTGTAACTTGCCGTGTACTTACTCAGCTAGTCTCAGCCCTGTCTGCAGGTTCCATGCCTGGGGCTCAGTGAAACACCTCAGCCATGACCAGTTATATTTCTTCTAATCTTTCCAGCTTCCTCAAACCCACTTTGCCTTGAGAGCCTGGGGTCAGTCTTCTTGGAGTGTCCTTGTAAATGTGTGGCTTTATTTTTGTGCTTATTTGTAGAATATAGTTTTATAACTTCATACCTATGTGTACTGTGTAATGATTTAGCCAGGGTCATTAGCCTTTCTATCACTCAAACATAATTGTTATCTTATGCTGGCATGTAGAGAAATATCAACATCAGCCCCCTGGTTAATTTGAACTGTACAATTATTGTGGACTTATCTTCTGTATTATAAAGTATAAGAACACCCCACACATAGTGTTTTGATAAGCAATTCTCTGTCTCCCTCTTTCTCTCTCTATATATATATGTCTCTCTCTGTCTCTGCCTGTCTGAATCTGTCTCTCTCATTCTCTCTTTCATCCTTCCAAGCCCCTGGCAACCTCTAGACTCTTCTCTGCTTCTATGCTATACTATTTTTTGCTTCTACAAATGAGTGAGAACCTGTGATTGGCTTTCTCTGCCTAGCTTATTTCCCTTAACATTATGTCCTCAGACTCTGTTCATGTTGCCACAAATGACTGGATCATACTTTTATGGATGACTAGTACTCCATTGTTAATTATACCATTTTAATCCATTTATTTTTTGACGAACATCTTTGTCGATTTCTTTTTTGGCTATGGTGAATCTTGTAATGAATATGTTAGTTCAGGTCTATCTTTTATAAAATGTCATGATTTCCTTTATATATATATATTCAGTATTTATACTGTTGACTTATGTAATAAATCTATTTTCAGCATTTTAAATTTTTAAAGATTTTCTCCCCCACTTCCTCCTTTTTTTTCATCTTCTTCTTCCTCCTTCTTCTCCTCCTTTTGTAGAGCTCCAATCCTGCTTTCCATAATCCGTAATGGTTATATTAACTTATACACCTATCAACAGAGTATAAAACACTTTTCAGCATTTCTACCATTTGTATATTATCATTTAAACATATTTGTAGAGAACATTTGCCCATTTTAAACTCAGATTATTAGAAAATTTTCTGCTCCTTGAATTCCTTATATATGCTTCTTGCAGATACTATCTTCATTCTTCAGTTGGTCTCTTAATATTGTTGATCATTTCCTTGGATATACAGAAACTCCCTAGTATGATCTAATCCCATTTGTCTAGCTTTGCTTTTGTTGCCTATACTATCTTTTTTTTTTTTTCCTTTACTTAAGTCTTGAAGTGTTTCCCCTTTGGTTTCTTCCAATAGTTACATAATTTAGGATCTTATATTAGGTCTTTGGCCCATTTTAAGTTTTCTGTTTCTTTTGGTTTTGGCTTTGGTTTTAGTTTTATTTGTTTGCTTGATTGAATAAATTTTTTATTGTTTGTTTGTTTATTTGGGGAGATTGGTTTTAGCTTTGGTTTCTTTGGTTGGCTGATTGGTTTCCATTGTTTCTTTTTTGTTTTCTGTTTTCTCAAGACAGGGTTTCTCTGTATAGCCGTGGCTATCCCGAAACTCACTCTGTAGACCAGGCTGGCCTCCAACTCAGAGATCTACTTGCCTCTGCCTCCCAAGTGTTGGGATTAAAGGCATAAGCCACTCCACCTGGCGAGTTGGTTTTTTTATATAAGGGCCTACCTAGTTTCAGCCTTCTACAGATGTATGTACAATATTCATTCATTTGTGTTTCTCTCTTTTTCCCTTTCTCCCTCCCTCTTTCTGTATGTGTGTGTGCTCTCGTGCATAGTCATATGTACTTGCGTGTGCGTACACCCATGAGGCCATTCATCAGACTCCGTCTACCTTTTAAGATAGGGTCTCCCACTTAGCTGAAATGGTCAAGTGGGCTAGACTGCCTGGCCAGGGAGTGCCAGCATTATCCTGTCTCTACCTCCCTGCCCTTGGTACTACACTCTCACACCATCACACCAGGCTTTTTGAAAGTGGTTTTCATAGATTGAGCTCAGGCCCTCATGTTCCCAAGGTAAACACGTTACCTACTGGGTGATCCTCCTTGTATACCCAGTCCCCAGCACCACTTCGTTCTAAGGGACGGTCTTTTCTAGAGAAGTTCTTGGTGTCTTAGGAAACTCTGCTGGCCTTAAGTATGTGGATTCACTCCTCGGTTTTCTCTCTGTCCCACTAGTCTGCAGGCATGTTCCCATGTCTGACCCATGCATTGGAGATCACCCTAGATTTGTAGTATGTCTTGAAGTCTTGGGTTGTGATGCCCTTTGATTTATTATTATTTTGTTGTTGTTGTTCAGGATTGTTTTCACTATTCTTTTTGTTTTGTGATTCTATATGAATTTTGTGGGTTTTTTCCCATTACCTCTGTAAACACTTAACTGGGCTGTAAACACTTAACTGGGCTTTGATAGGGATTGCATCAAATCTCTAATTACCTTGGGTAGTGTGGGCATTTTATCATTACTCCTTCTGACCTATGAAAACAAAATATCTCCTGCCTTCTAAATTTTTCATTATGATGTCTATTACCTGCTACATTAAATTTATTTTTACCTGTCCCATTTAAGGATGTTGTAAATAAAATGATTGTCTTAGTTGGGGTTTCATTGCTATGAAGAGACATCATAACCATAGCAACTCTTATAAAGGAAAACATTTAATTGGGGCTGCCTTAAAGCTTCAGAGGTTTAGTCCATTAACATCATGATGGAAAGCAGAGACGCCTACAGGCAGACGTGGTGGAGGAGCTGCCAAGAGTTCTACATCTTGATCCACAGGCAGCAGACGGGGACTATGTACCACACTGGGCATAGCTTGAGCATATATGACTCCAAAACCCACCTCCACAGTGGCACACTTTCTCCAACAAAGCCACACCTCCTAATAGTACCATTTCTTATAGACAACGCATTCAAACACCTGAGTCTATGGGGACCATTCAGATTCAAATCACCACAATGGTTATAAAGCTCTTTTTCAGCCTGTTTGTTCAAAACACTGTTGGGTTTTGTATGTTAACTTTCTATCCTGCAACTTTACTGTATTCATCAACTGCAGCAGTATTTTGATGGAGTCTTCAGAGATTTTACATACACGATCAGATCATGCTATTGACAAACAGAATCCTTTTACCTCCCTCCTTCCAATTTATCTGCCTTTTGTTTCTTCCTTCTGATTGCTCTCCCTAATGCTTCTAGTCCTATGTTGAATAGGCATACTATTTTGTCCCAGATTTTCAGATATACCTTCAACTTTTCCCCATTTAACATGACATTTGTCGGTTACTCTTGTATTGTGTAGAGGTATGTTTCTTCTGTACTTAATTTGTTGATGGTTTCCTGTTTTTTTTTGTTGTTGTTGTTGTTGTTGTTTTTGTTTTGTTTTTTGTTGCTTGAAGTCTTATTTTCAGGCCTATGTCTACCTTCAGGGAAGAATGAGTCTCCAAGGACAAGGGGGCACAGGTGATGGCTGCTTCTATTTCTTCCTGTGTTGTCAGAGCCACAGAACAGATAAAGAGTCTCTCTGATGGGGACTACTGTACTTATTTGCCACACTTTGTGTACCCAAACCTTGACTGCTAACATCAGAAAACCACCCAGATACAATCACTTCCTTCTGTTATCCCATCTTTCCCAGCCTGGGATCCCTGGCTGCCTGCCCCACTCTGTCTCCCTCCAGCTTTCTTCATTCTCCTTTTTCTACTCCTCTCCATCCATGATGAATTCATCTCTGGTTTCTGGAAGAAGATGATACATCCTTTAGTCTCTCTGTTTGACCCAAAACCTTCCTCTACCCAGGATGTTCTTGGCTACCCTTTTCCTGCTCTCTGCATCTGCCTGATAATTGTCCTCAACAGTCAGGTCTCAGCCCTGATGTCCTTACTAGAAGCCATTTGCCATCTCTTCCTTTTGCAGTGGGGATCTCATCATGAGCTTAAAGAGTACTTCGCACATGGCCTGCCATGCAGCCACTGTACCGTGTTGTCACTGTCTGGTGCCCCCTGCCATCAACAGTGACCCTTTCCTTTTGAAGGCAGGCCGGGACACTTAGTGATGATTAAAAAAAAATCAAAACAGGACTGTCTACTCTTCCAGGGGTGCTGAGTTCAATTCCCAGTACCCACATGGGTGGCTCACAACCATCTATCATGTGATCTGATGCCTTCTTCTGTCACACAGGCATGTGCTCATGTGTACAAATAAATAAATATTTTTTAAAAAACAACCAGCAGGCAAGCCAGCAAAAAAATACCCTTTAAAATATGAGATAGATTAATCAATATTTTCAGAATAAATGAACAAGGAGAGAGACAGCAATATTGATTCCTAAAATAGTAAATAATAAAGAAGAAAACAATGACAAGAAACTGGGTACCTACTTTGTGCCAGAAAATGTGAACTTGAGGTAACATATAATTATATATGATATAAATTAATACATAATTTATGATATATAATGTTAACAAACCTGTAACATATTCCAGACTGCAGATTTAGGTAATTCATTGCCTCTGGTTTGTAGATGAGTAAATTTGGATTCCAAAGACTAAGCTACCTGCCCAACATCATACAACTAGGAAGTCAGTGTCAGTTGGAACTTCAGAGCACACACTTTTTCACAGTGATGCCTTAAGCAATATGGGTCAGTATATGAATCACATATTTGAATAATATTGCCAAGAATGAGTTTATTGTTGAACTAACAATATGAGCCCTTTATTAGTTTTTGATACCAATACCCATGCCTTTTTCACACTCAACAAATCTTGGCAGACCACAGCAGAGACAAAGATTCAAGACAAATCCCCCAACCTCAGGGAGTATGCAGCACAATTAGAAAAACAGAAAATTACCAGAACCTCAGCATATGTGGTGAAGGAAGCACAAGATTTAGGCAAGTAGCAATCAGCCAACTGTACCTTTTCCCAGCACCCCCAGCTTGGTTGGTATACAGTATCCTTAGCTCCTGTGGTCCCTGAGGTCCCATCACTGCCTCCCTTTGTCTCTGTCTGCTTCAGTATAGACATGCTTACTTGCTCCGGCCCTCTCAATTCAATGGGGAATTATGTGACTTCTCCGACAAGGAAGTTGAAGACTGTGTCACCAACCGACCCTGCAGAAGCCAAGTGAGATGTGAAGGCTTCGTGTGTGCACAGACAGGTATGAATGAGTGTGGCAATGGGAAGAGAAGCTTGAAGCACAGAGAGTACCATGCGATGATGGAGGGACAGACATGGAAGGACAGACATATAGGGCTCATGAAGACCAGGGTTGCAGGACAGGTCAGGGGGCTCCTTACCACAACCCTATGTGCTATCCCATGAAAGAATGCCTATGGTAAGACAGGATCATTGTTATCCTTATCTTGCATCCTAAGAAACTGATGCTTGAAGAGGTTTCTTGCTACAAATTATCCAGCAAGTCAGGGGAGAAGCTGCAGTGAGAATCAGGAAGCTCAGCTACATTCAGTGAGGTAAATTAGGTGTGCTGAAGTCAGAAGTCCTAGGTCAGGTCTAACTCTGGCTGTGTCATCTAGAGTATCTCATTTATCCTTTTTGGATTTGAATTACATCACTAGAACTTGAGTGTTGGATTAGGTACCCTTCTTACGGTTTCAAAGGGTTGGAGTCTATGATGGCAGAGCAAAAGCATGACAGTAGAAACAACTGAGAGCTCACATCTTGATCTGAAAGTGAGAGATGGACAGAGCTAACTCAAGATGTCAGGAAACCTCAAAGCCCACCCCCAGTGACATATCTCCTCCAACAAGGCCCCACCTCCTAATCTTTCCCAAACATGTCCACCAACTAGAGCCTAATTCTTGAAGCATATGAGATTAAGGGGACATTCCCCATTCAAACCACAAGGGTGGTATAAATACCTTATGAGGTTGTCCTAAACGTCATGCAGCAAATGGAGGTAAAAGCTCTCTGTCTCGTATAGGCTCTGATGCTACTCTCAGAGCCCTGGGGTAAAGGAACATGTGCCCAAACCTGCAGCAGTTGAGAAGTGTAACAGCCCTCACTTACCAGCACAAGGCTTTGGAGGCATGGGTCCTGTCATTTGCATTTCTGCATCTATGAGTTAACCATAAGTCCAAATGTGTGATGTAGTCAGTAAAAGTGTTGACTTTTCACAAAGAAGGAAAGTGAATATGGAAGATGGATGGGAGGATGGGCAGAAGGAAGGCTACAGTGCACAAATGAATGATGATTTACTGCAGAACCCAGTAAAAATGTGTTTTCCCAGCTTACTCAGATCATCCTGGTAAATCCGTGTGTCTCCATTTCTTCAAGTCTCTGACAAAAACAGGGATACTTTGCCCTAAAGTAGCTGGAGGGGTGTTCCATTCACTGAACCCATGTGGATTGTGGTTCAGAGCTTCCAAAAGATAGACAGGGATTATCACAGTGATTTCTAGGGCTTACTGCAACTGTAAAATTCCAACCAATAAATCTGAGAGACTCTTTTACAATATACCTAAAGACTCATTATAGCCCATGTTCCATGGTTTCACCCAGAGCTATAACGGCTATTCATGCAGGCTTTAGTTTAAATGCCTTGTAAGAAACATTTGAAGACCAGGTTGTTATTTTTCTGCCTTTTATAACCAAAGGACATTGGTTAAAAATGACCCAATAGGTCTAAGGAAGCAGAACCACCTGTCTTGTGAGCTTTATGTCCCCAAGAAAGTACAAATAAGGAAGAAAGCGAAGCCAGTGAGAAATAAATTGTAGAGGAAACAGAAGTGATATGGATGATGGCAATGAAGGCGATGTGGGTTAGGGAAAGGAGGCACGATGAGGCAGGTAGAGCTTCCAGCTGTGCCACAAATACTTTCAACATGTGCCCAGCTCTCCAAGACACTAAACCCAGCACATGGTAGGCTTTTGCAGTACTTTCCATGAGTGCACTCTACTTTTCAGTCACTCACTCAAAACACCTCTGTCACGGCAGGAGAGCTGTGATGACCTCTGCACGTTACAGATGAGGAAGCTGAGGCCAGGAGGTTGGGTCACATATGCAAGATGGCTTCACTGGTGTTACTCAGAGAAGCCAGCCACCACCTCTCCCTACCCTTAGTGATGGGAGGAGGGGTTGTTACAGACTACCATCCTAGTGGGCCACCTTTCCCTGCTTCTCAGACACATTGCCTCCCCCTGCCTTTGCCCTCACAGATGGTTCCGGACAATCTCTCCTCAGTGCTTTCAAAACTGTGGCACTGAACTCTGTCAGGGGTGGGGAGGGTGACAAAATGGAGGTGAGCTGTTGGTATCATTCTCAGTCAGGCCTGATACATGAAGACTGATCAGAACAGGCACTAAAGGCCACATGCCTGGCACCAGCAGTGTGTGCCCTCTCATCACAACTGTGTGAGTGTGGTCCCCTCTCTCCACCCCAGGGAGGTGTGTGAATCGCAGACTCCTCTGCAATGGGGACAATGACTGTGGAGACCAATCCGACGAAGCAAACTGTAGGAGGATTTATAAAAAATGTCAACAGGAAATGGAGCAGTACTGGGCAATTGGCAATCTGGCCAGCGGGTGAGTTGCTGAGGCCTTGCTGGGATGATGGGAAGCCACAATGTTAAATGGAATTCTGAAGGATGGACGAGGGGTGGAAAGGGACCGTTGCTAGCTCTCCTTTCTGGAATAGAAAAGCTGTAGTGTAAGTAGGGTATTCCATGTTGTTCCAGAAGCACATACCATGAACAGACATGGGCCAAGGGAAAGTTGACCTATGAACATAAGTCTGTTCAAGGGCTGCTTAACTCTCACAGTCTGCTGCGTCAGGGACATTCTAAGCATGGCTCTTGAATCCTATAGGCAACTTATATTCTGTCTGGTTCTATGTCGCTAGTCCTCAGAATCCACCATGCTGAGAAGGGACTTCTAAGCACTTTGGAAAGCAATGGGTTTCCAACATAGGTCTTTCGTCTGTGTGTCTGAGCTTTCAGAAACAAACACTGGTCCACTCTTCCATAAGGTCAAAGGAGCAAGGCCAGAAAGGGCCAAGCAGGCCCAGCATCCATCCCACTTCTATGCCACATCCTGTAGCATCTCAGCCTGCAGATGGACGAGTGAGACGGTCTCTTTCTACATAACAAGAATCACTGTAATAGAAGCCCCTGGAAAGGAAGGCAGGGAGTGTGAATAGAATCTGCCTCCTCCCTCGATGATTTCCAGTCTTGACTCTTAAAGGCAGTCATCAGAGGGAGACTCTTCCCTTGGTTGGGAGCTCCTCTCAAGGCCTTGTTAGTAGCCACTTGTACCTACTTCCAGGATAGAAAAAAATGAGGCCCTCAACAGTTAAGTGAGCTCCAGGGGCTACACAGCTAGAAAGGAGGGAAGGCATTCAAAGTCAGTAATGGAGATCCACTAAGCCTGGAGGAGAGGTACTTGCCCTTGAAGGAGCAGAGCACACTGACAGAAGAACACAGGGCTGGAGACAGAGCGTGTGCGGGTGTGTTGGGAGTGGTCTGAGATGAAAGTGCTGAGGTGGTGGGGCTGGAGAAATGGATCAATGGTCAAGAGCTCGGGCTGCTCTTCTAAAGGACCTGGGATTAATTTTCAGCACTCATAAGGTGGTTCAAAACGGTGTGATGGAATTCGATACCCTCGTCTGGCCTCTATGCTCTGTACCAGGCATGGACATGGTACACAAGGCATACATGAAAGTAAAACACCCATACACATAAAATAATAACACAAAGTTTAAAAGGAGAGTATAGAGTTGGTATGAACCAGTTTCCCATGGCCTTGAATGTAGAAGCAAGAGTTCTGAGTTTCACTCCGTGGGATGTGCTAACTTCCAACAGAGGTGACACAACCCCAAATCCTGAGCTGCCCACCCTGTCTGTGCCTTCCTTTCAGGATAAATCTGTTCACAAACACTTTCGAGGGCCCCGTCCTCGATCACCGGTATTACGCTGGTGGGTGCTCCCCCCACTACATCCTGAACACCAAGTTTAGGAAGCCGTACAACGTGGAAAGCTACACCCCACAGGTAAGGGACTGCCGCTGGCAGTGAGGGATCGCCGGCTGAGCACGCTGCAGCCTGCTAGCTGTGCAGCTTCCACAGAGCTCTTTCTCTCGGAATCCCAGTGTCTTCTGGCATCGAGCGGGTGGCCCCTAACACAAGACCTTGTGCTGACAAGCATGCTGTGTGCAGCAAGGGCAGCTGTAATAGCAGTGATGCCGCTAAGATAATATCAAGAGCTGGGCTAAACACAGAGCTTACCATTTGGTGTCACGTTGGTGTGCTGGCTTGTCCATCCATTTCCCATGCCGCCCTAAATGCCTGGAGCCTCTATTTTCCTATCTTTATATTGTAAGCCGTAGGCTTCCTCCCTGAAGTGAGGCAATCGGTAAGATGGTGTGTCTAAGTGGACATCATCGCATCTGCTGTCCTAGGGAGTCCTCGGCTCAAGTTAATTCTCATTCTGATCATTACCATGTCCTTGCCTATCAGTTGTTCAAAGTTATGAAATGATGCACCCCTGGGGCTGGAGAGATGGCTGAGTGATTAAGAGCAGTCGCTGCTCTTCCTGATGGCCTAGGTTCAGTTCCCAGCGTCCATGTCAGGTGGTTCACAAACATCTCTCATTCCATTTCCAAGGGATCTGACATCCTCTTCTGGCTTCTGTGGCCACTTTCATTTATAGGCACATATACATACATACTTAGGCGCACAAATATATACAAAGATACAGACACACAAACTCACACACACACACACACACACACACACACACACATGCACACAAGTAAATGTTTATAATAATTAAATAAAATGTTGCATCCATATAAGTCTGCACTGTGACTCATACATACTCCCAGACACACAGAGTAGGGCATAGAATACACCTTTTAAGTCCACTACCAAAACCTTTGCCATAAAATGAAAAGACATTTTAACTTTAGGCCAAGGTTCTTTCCCACTCTTTCTTCAGGTTCCTCATCTGTAAAGCAAGGGGTTTTGACCAAGAAATTCATCTAGATGGTGGCTTCTATAACCAAAGGCGCATAGTTCTGAAGGTTGGATAACTGCCTTTCTCCTCATCCCCCTTTTCTGGTCCTTTCCGCAACACTCACTGGCCATCAAGGGGAAAAACAGCCTAGGACTAAGCACACCTTCCATCAAGGTGTCCAGTCCAAGCTGTCAACCTCTGCTTTCCAAGGAGCCGGATCCCAGCCTTCCAGGAGCCGGATCCCAGCCCAGAAGTCACCTGCAGCTTCCGGCTTCTTGTCTCCTTAAGCTAGCATTCTCTGAAGGCTCTGACAGGCTCTTGGGTGAACCTGGTCCTCAGGAAAGGTCTAGCGAGAGGAACAACTGTCATTTTATACATGGGGAAACTGAGGCCTAGAGCAATCAGCTGTCCCAAGTCATCCACCCAGAAGGAAGCAGGGCCACTGTCCCAGAAGCCTCACTTTAGGCCACGCCTACATCACTGCTGCTCCTAGCCTGTGCTAGAGGGTTTTAGAGAAATTACAAGTATCCAGATGCCCATGGAAGTGGACGTGGTGATGACTGCTCACCCCAAGCCCATCAAGGACGGTGAGCACTAATGACTTAGCATATTGCTCAGCTAAGTACTCCAAGACAAGCTAACCAAGCAGTCTCCTTCCAGCTTCTCTCCCACCCTGCCACCTCAGCCCACATCCTCAATGCACGACACTGCACATAGCACCACCTTCTGGGCTTGTGACTCCACATTCTGATTTGTTCCTCCCATTCCCACCGCCATGCCGTCCCAGAATGCCCACCCCACTCCTTCTTCCCTTGGCTTATGTTTGCAGTATACCTAGAGAAGAACAAGAAACCCAAAAGCCTCCGTATGCCGATGCCATAATGTTCTCTCACAACATCTGCCTGTTTCCTCACTCTTGCGTCTTCTGATTCCCATACACCATCATCCAGGCCCTTGCTAGGAGCCTCCCATTTTGCTTCATACCTCTGCTCCAGATCAATCCCCAGCCCTGGATACCCCCACCTCCTGCATTCCTGCCAACTAAAACCCAAGCCAAATTCCCACCTCTGTGCATGAAACACTGCACTGAATATGTCTGCCTCTGTTGCTAGAGCAGGGGTCCTTGGCCTGCAAGCTGTCCCTGGTATTTTTGCATTTCCATAGTCTCTAGCTCAGTTCTACTATATAGTAAGAGCACAGTGAATATCTGATGATGATGATGATGATGATGATGATGATGATGATGATGATGATGGTTTGAACCAAAGCATATTAAACATACCTTTTTTCTTTCCATAGACCCAAGGCAAATATGAATTTGCATTTACAGAATATGAATCATATTCAGATTTTGAACACAATGTGACAGAGAAAGCAACCAGCAAGTCTAGTTCCAAGACTGGTTTCAAAATAGATTCGGTCATTGAGTTTGGATTTAAGGAAGACAGCAACGAAGACAAACAGTACATTAGCAGAATCAAAAGATTTTCCCACACTGTAAGTACCTAGCTAGTCCTTTTATTTATTTATTTTTAAATAATGTTTTCATTTACTTTTTGAGAGTTTCATAAATATATTTTGATTATATTCATTCCCTTTCCTTGACTCTTCCCAGATCCTTCGTTACAAACCCCTACCCACCCAACTTAAAGTTCTCTCTTGCTCTTGAAAAAAAACAGACAAAAAAAAAAAAAAAAACCTCAGTTTATTGCTTTAAAATGGCTGTTATTCTTTTATGCTCATGGTTGTATCTGTATTCCACATTATCCCTGGTCCAAGTAAACACAAAAGTCTCTATTGTCCTGAAAATTCTCTCATAGATCATGTCTTAGTCTCATGCTGACTTCCCCGGGTAGCGTTATTTTCCGGTTCTGATAAGCCCTTTCCTTTGGTTTTCGATAAGCCTAATGTGCAGACTTGCCTGAATGAAACCTATGGGCGGGGGGGGGGGGGGTTTCAACTCACTGCAACATGACTTTTGTTTGAGATCAACGTCAGGAATGTGACCCAACTCTTCTGGGACCTCTTAGCCATCTGGTGGGGTTTTGTTTACCATCGCTCCCATCCCCCCTTTCTCCTGCTTTCTTTCTACCTTTTGTCAGTTTCCCTCAGGGTTACTAGCCCAGGCCACTTTGCCTTGTGCTGCTCTGACACACAGTGTGACTGACTCCCACCTTGCCCTTCACAAGCATGTGCTGCCCTAAAGATGTTCCCCGATACTAATCCAATATTGTATATTTCTTGATGACCACACGGTAAGCACAAAGCAAGGGAATGGAAAGTGACTGGGCTGATGTGTTAAGGAAACAGGTGATAGGCAGCTTTGAGACTCTGAGTTCTGTGGTAGAGAAGGTGCATATTTTTGACTAGTTACTGAGAATTTTCAACTCAGGAATGATGGGATAAGAAATTAATCTAAGGAAATATGAAATAAAAGAGGCCAAGACCTTCAGTTTGCAGTGATTTATGTGAAAACAAAATAAATCGGGGGGGGGGGGGGGGGGGAGGAAGCTAACAGGCCCCTGCTACAGGTATATTTACCGTCAGGAAACAGGCGGTCAGCATTGAATAGTCTAGACTTTTTCCCATCTGCTGACTCATCTTATGGGCTGGGGTCCTATGGGGACAGATCTGTTTCCTTCTTCTCTAGACAGGATGGTGCATAGTAGGCACTCAGCACTGAGCTGTAGGAATGAAGGACAGGCCCAGTTACTGGGATTTGCTTTATTATAAGGGAAAACAGTGGGTACCATCATGTACTGGCCCCCTTCTCCTCCTGCCCCATCCTTCTGTAGCCTCCCCAGTTCAAATAGCCGGTTCCACAAAGCTAGCATGTGTGTCTCCAGACAGGAGCCTTGGGTCCTAAGACAAATTCTACAAGGTTCTTTTTGTTCAGTTAAAAGTATTTTCTGAAAAATCGGGTGTCTTTATGGGTTACCGTGTAATTATTTGTTTCATGCATGCAATATATAATGTCCATATCAGAGTAATTAGCATTTCTGTCTCCTTGAACACCTGTAAGTTTTTGTGGTGGGCACCTTCAAACTTGTCTCTTGAAGCTCTTTATAAAATACATAACAAATCGTTCTTGCCTTAATATTCTCAGTCCAGAGGGAGAGGTATGCCTGTAAGCAATAAATCACTGTTAATCATTTATATTGGCTGCAATATAGCATAATGTATGCTCTAAAGGAAATATGAGTAATGTGCTACACAAGCTTTAAAAAGAAGCGCAGGTCTGGGACTTTCAGGGATCGTATTAAATAAGCAAGAGCTAAACGGGGATTTGAAAAATAAATAAACTCATGTCCAAAAGAAAGGGAAGAACTTAGAAGCAGAAAGACTAGTCTGTACACAGTCACATCATGCAGGTTTAGGGATCAGTACGGAGTTGGATTAGGGTCAGTACGCAGTGTGGCTGATGGAAAATGGACAGGCATGGATGGAGAGAAACGCTTCGATGTCAGGGCAGCTGACACCAATCAGAGTGCTGGTAGATGCAACGTGAAGGGTCTGTCTCCAAAGCAAGAGAGTAGATTACAACTGAAGGCAACACCAAGCTCATGCACTCATGTTTGTTTACTTTGCTTTTGCCTGAAGGAGTATTATCATAATGTTATCAGAGGCTTAGGACTTTTCCTCTGACTAGGGCCCTGAAAACAAGTTAGTAGGGGAAGGGAGAGCACACGGGAAGTTTTATAATATGTCAACTTAACTAACAATCAGAGAAAGACTCGGTGAATGCTTGTGTGTATTTGGAAACTGCAGAACATTGCAATGGGAGTGAGCAATGCTATAAATGTTCTCAAGAGGATTAAATTGAGGAAAGTTTCTAAAAGCAAAAGTGGGGGAGATTGCAAACAAAAGTCCTTGGCCACAAGGTACTAACAACATGGATGACACCACTCTGAAGCCAGGGAATTTCTGGACAAAAACCCCTAAAGTGGTGTGGTTTTTCTACTGTTGCTGTGGCTGTCTTCCATGACAGCTCCTATTATTAGACGATCAAGAATGAAATACTCTTCCTTCATAACTTCTAGGCCTGATGTACTTTTACTTACTTACCTTTTGTTAGGGCTGACATATTCAACTCCATTTTGATTCTGACAACTTTCATAAAGCTGCAGGGAGGAGACAGAACCTAGGAGATTTGGAAAAGGTGTGAGCCAAGTGCCCAGTGACTACTTGCAGGACTAGAATGGGATGACAGCAAGCCAGGATGGAAAGTGGGGGTTTTTAGTGACAGCACAATCGAGACTGCGTAGCTCTTCAGCTGAAGGGCTCAGTTGGAATAGACTGTACCCCTCATTTCTACCATTTCTGCTTCCTTCCATACAAGGATCCCTCATCTCACATGTTGTGATATATAGCTCTCAAAGAGACCATCTTCCCTCAGCTATCCAAAGGAACCGTAAGCTTGGTGACCCTGAGTAGCATTTGTAAAGGTGTTTTCCTATTCACTGCAACACCAGCATTCACTCTATGCCATAGCTCCAGGGGACACCAGACTTTGCCTAAAAAGAACCAGAGCCAATAATTGACGCTTACCACAATACTGAGGGAAGGGTCTCTATTGCTACTACACAACTCTGCCACCGCAGTGTGACAGAGACTATAGACAGCATATCAATGAATGGGAATGGTCGTGTTTGTGAAACAGTCAGCAGATACGTTCTGTTGACCATGGTTTGCTAACGCCCGCCACTGTCACCTTCCCAAAGCACTTTGGGACTTGAACAGTTTGGGGTTTCATTTTCAAAAGACAAAGGGAAATGGTTGAGGCTTGCAAGTTAGCAAATTCTGCCCCTGTCTGAGCGATCTCAAGTGGCCACATTCACGTGCAGTGGAAGTCTCTGATTCACTGTCCTTGTTTCCTCCTGTAAGGAGCTCAGTGATCATCCAAGCTGAAAAGGATGCTAGAATATTCAGGAGGATTGAAATCTTCCCAAAGAGACCACCTTCCCTCAGATGTCCTAAAGGGATCATAAGCGTGATTACCTGGAGCGGTATTTGTAAAGTTCATCCTCCCCTTTGCTATTCCCGGTTGTGAAGGTCTGTTTTCTCCATGTTGGCATTTCCTCTAGAAAAGCAAGTTCCTGCAAGCGCGCTCTGTCCTTGAGGTGGCACATTACAAGCTGAAGCCCAGAAACCTTATGCTCCATTACGAATTCCTCCAGAGGGTCAAGAGCCTGCCCCTGGAGTACAGCTATGGGGAATACCGAGATCTCCTTCGTGACTTTGGGACCCACTTCATCACTGAGGCCGTGCTTGGGGGCATCTATGAGTACACGCTTATCATGAACAAAGATGCCATGGAGCAAGGAGGTGCGCTGGCAGAGGGACATGCCTTTCCTGGCCAACACAGGAGGGATGAATGATGGGAGAGTCTTACACTAACGCTTGGGGAAGAGACTTAGATTGGGCTCCCATTTCCCTCCCACTGACCTGGCTGCCCCTCCACAGAGGCCTTTGCTGAGTCTTTATCTTCCTCTCCCTGGCTTAGCTGGGTTGGTCCTCGCAGCCCAGCTCCCTCTTTGAGTGGCCCTCCTTTCCACAACGAACTGTATCCGATTAGAGCCAAGCTTGCGCACTGAGTCACATTTGCAACCCGGACCGCTGGGTCACTGCATCTGCTCGCCCCTATCGTTTCCACATCTCAGAGATGGTTCCCAGCCAGAGGCTAAGCCAAAAGCTTAGGCATCGACCCCAATTACTTTTCTTTCCTTTCTATTCACCAGCAAGTTTCCTCATATCTATCTCCAAATTTTATTTTCCATTTTTCTTGTTCATTTGTGTGTGTGTGTGTGTGTGTGTGTGTGTGTGTGTGTGTGTGATGGTGTGTTTGCTTTATTTTTCATGTGTGTGGGTGCATACATGTGTGGGTTCATGTGTACATAACTGTACATGTATGTGGAGGCCTGAGGCTGATGCCAGTAATCATCTTTTATGTTCTTCCACCATATTAATCGGTCAATCCAGAGCTTTTTGATATTTTAACCAGCTTGCTGTTCGGGATCCTCTGTCTCTCTACCTTCGTGGGCTGCAATTACAGACAGGCCACCGTGCTTACCTGGCCCTCACAATGTGTTTCTGGGTATTTGAATTCTGCTCCTCATTTTGTAAATTTGCCTCTGAGCCATCTCCCTATTCCTTACATTGATTTTGACAGTTAGTACCACGGGTTCATCCTACGACCAATGCTTCATTCACTCCTGTGAATGTGAATTAGAGACAAATCTTTGAAGTGATTGAGCTGATCCCGTAGGATCAAGGTGAAGTCCAAAGTTCCATCTTTCCAACAACCTTGGAGATGATGCTAAAGGTACTGGTCCACAGGTGACAGTTTCACTACTGAGGATTCATATGACTGTAGTTCCCAGACTAATGACCAGTCCCTCTGACCATGTCCTTCTCCTCTCATCTTGCCTACAGGCATTCCTGATCTTTCCAGCTGTCTTCAACTCCCAGTCTAGGGTATGAATATCACTTTCCAATCCAGTATTCTGTCTCAGGGCTGGGCCCTGGTCTGGTTATGTGAACTGTTCTAGATCACATGGCCCCTCAGCGGACCCAGGGCTTAGTTGTAATTCCAGTGTACTTGTAGGCATATGTACAATGTAAATGCATGTGTTCAAGACTTGAGTCTACCAAGATCAAAGGTGCCTTCCTCCAAAAGAGTTGTCCCAAAGGTTCTTTCCGTAGTTTCCAAAATTGCTCCCCTATAACTGGCCTAGAGAATCACACAATTCAGGGAAATATAAAATTGATGCCACCTTCAGAGTGTCTCCGGAGGACTGCCAGGGGTCGGAGAGGATGAAAAACCTGCCACATCTCATGCACAGCTAATGAATTTGCATGGCCCTGGAGGGTCTTTTTCTTGTAACACCTATTATCTCAATGAGCTTTATGTTTCAAGGGTTTGGAATGCTCTCGAGGGGAGGTATGGTCCACACTGATAATGCTAGGAAGCCTAGTGGTCAACAAGCCTCTTTTTCCTAAGCCAGATGGAAAACAATTCGGAAAGGTCTTATATGAGATTGCAGCCAGCCCCAGGGAAGAAGATACCTTGGGGAGAATCAAGGTAGAAGTCGATGAGAAGGAGTCCTCAAATAAGTAGGAGAAACTTGTACACATACCACCAGATACTTTCAGACCACGCATTACTTCACCCAATTCATGCAGGCCTTTTCTTCCTTTATCGAAGATCAGAGAAATGTGGACCAGGAAAGGCAGGGAGTGGCGCTAACTACCCACTGGATCAGTCACTGGGTACTTGTGCTAGCTAGTCTTAGATCAACTTCACACAAGCTTGAGTTACTTGAAAGGAGGAAACGTCCCTTAACAAAATGCCTCCATAAGATCCAGCTGTGAGGCATTTTCTTAATTAATGATTGGTGAGGGAAGGCCCAGCCCATTGTGGGTGGATCCAGTCCTCAGCTGATGATCCTGGGTTCTATGTAAAAGCAGGCTGAGCAAGCCATGGGAGCGAGCCAATAAGCAGCACCCCTCCATGGCCTCTGCATCAGTTCCGGCTTCCAGGTTCCTGAGTTTCAGTCCTGACTTCCTTTGATGATGAAGTGTGATGTGGAAGCATAAGGTGAATAAACCCTTTCCTCTCCAAATTTTGTTTGTTTGTTTGTTTGTCTGTTTGTTTTTGTCATGATAGACCAAGACCATCACATCAGTAGTAGCCCTAATAACAGAGTGCCCGATTGGGAGTCTGGTTTTTTAGAGGATAGCTGATCTGAGCATGTGACCACTTTGAAAGCTGCGAATATCCTCAGAGACTTCAAGGAGGAGGCTGGAACAGAAACTTGGGACTGATCTCCATGGGTGTGTGTGGGGGTCTGTGCTCTGTCCCCTATACTTCTTATCTTCAGATTGATGACATGCTTATTTGAACCCAGGACCATAGGATGCCAGGAAGGGTTAGTGTTAGAGTCAATGGTGGGAAAAGGGACAGAGCAAATTACCTAGTAGGTCATGGGCATCTTTCCTTCTTCCTTCAGATTATACTCTTGACCATGTTTCTGCCTGTGCTGGACACCGATTCAAATTTGGTGCTACCATCTCTGCAGTAAACTTCAAGTTGGATGTGTCGCAAAAGAAGTGCAATGACATTCTGAATGAAATCAAAGGTGAGCCAGAGTCCCATGACTCCTGCCCTGACAGCCTTTCTCTCCCTAGCACCATCGGTCTCAGGCTTTCTTTAAGCGTGGGATGTTCCAGGCATTTCAATGAATATAATGATCTATCTAATAAAATCTGGCTCCTTCCTACTAGTATCATGAATGCACAGAAATGAATGAGGTTGAACTCCTGTTTTCATAATGAAAGTATGTAGTAGATAAAAGGCAAAAAGGCCAATCTCCAGGCTAAACACCTCAAGACAGAGTTTCCAGAGCTGCAAATTACCACTAGAGTGCTACAGCATGTAGGTGTGAATAGTATCACTTTCCTCTAGGGGCTGAGAGTTGGCCTGGCTGGAGAGAGAATGCTGGGGGGCCAAGGCAAGGTGGCAGAGATTAGGGCCTTCCCTGAGATGAGGCATCCAAAGAGATTGGGAAATCTGGCACAGCACCAGTCACATGACACAGGCCTCATGGCAGGAAAAGCCAAACTTGAGTTGGGGGTTAAAGCCAGCCTCCGTGTAGAGTCAGGGTCTGGGAGCAGACGCCTATGTGTAGTATGAATTGGAAGTCTAGTATATGGAGAGTAGGAATGAGACTGGATGGCAGCGCTCTGGGCCCCGCTCTTCTGCTTCCTCCCGGTTGTCTGTGTCCTGCTCTACCAGCCGTGGGAAGAATCCCACAGTGACATAGTATACAGTCAAGCACAAACACAGGAAATAGCTCATAGCCTGGAGCAGAGATCTGTACTTGAGACGGAGTTGCTGATGTTGTTGATTATTTGTTCATTGTGGTGAAGCTGGAGATATAGAACACAGGTACTTTTTAAGAAACTTTGTACCTTAATCCCTATCTAGGTCTCTGAACAGGACATTGTCAGCACCCACAAAACCCCACTAATACAATGCCTCTCTCCCTGTCTGCCCACCTATTTACCAACCTATATCTATCTGTCTTATATCTATATGTCATCTATTTATCATTTGGATGTCTATTTCCCTAGCATCTTTTCGTGTATCTACCATGTTTGTACAATTCTCGTTGTCTATCTACTTCTCTCTGTCTACCTCCCATATAATAACTCAATAACTGGCATTTGTATATGTTCAAGATGAATCTTCCTTCCTTGTTCTCCTCATTTGTGCTATGCATGAATGGCTAAGTTCCCAGTTGCCCCAGGTACCATCACTTCCCTACGACCGGGAACATGTCTTCATCTCCCATGTCTCCCAGACTAGCTCACTAAGAATCATGGCTTCTCATGTATGCCACTACATTCCAAGGCATAAAACTAGATTCCTTGATTCCATGCCACTCTTTCTACCCATTCCAGACAGAAATAAGAGGAACACCATGGTGGAAGACTTGGTAGTTCTTGTGCGAGGAGGGGCGAGTGAATACATCACCTCCTTGGCGTACAGGGAACTGCCAACAGCTGAACTGATGCAGGAATGGGGAGACGCTGTACAGTACAACCCAGCAATCATCAAGATCAAGGTACACACAGCCGTCGTACCCTCTCTACGTCTGTGTAGAACGTGGAATCTGAGGGTCTGCAGTCAACTGTGTATGGAATGTGGAGATCATGGGGCACAGGCCCCAAGAGTGAGGTGCTTGCATTATCATAGAAAAATAGATGTGAGATGAATAGGTTGGAACACAGTACTCCCTGCCATCTAAAGATCCCAAGTTCCTCACTTGGTCCCCGTGTTCCTAAGGGGACCATCTTCCATGCTGTAAGACGATACCAGAGGGAAATAATGACATGCCTAGATGAAAGAAGCACCTAGGAAGGACAGTAAGTCAGCAGTATGCACACTTGTCTCTTAGGATGGTGCAAGGTGTGATTATAGTACAGAAGGTTTTTGGAGCTCCTACTGGGTTCACAATACTCTGCTGGGGTATTAGGAGTGTCACCCAGGCTGATGCTTTCAGCAGTCTGCAAGTTAAACGTGTTTGCCTTCTTCTGTGACAAGTCAAGGACCAGGAGACTCATAGCCATCTGTGGCTGTTCGAGAATCTCTTAGGTCCAGACAAGAGAGTCGGACCTCTTTCCACCCCACGCGGGCTTGGTGAATAGAGAAATAATGATTCTAACCACCTGACTCCCTAGCAAGAAGGATCTTGAAACTGCAAATAAACTAAACAGATGCTTGTCAGAACAGGCCTGTCATACACATCAGCAGTGGTAGGTCCTTGCCTGTGGGGACATCTGCGCTGTACCCGCAGCATGTCTTACATCATCCTCTTCTTTGTCATTGATGGACCATTGTCCACCCCCTGAGAGTTCTCTTTGCAGTTAAGGAGGAAAAAAATGGGAGACTGGACATTAATGAGAGGCTCTGCATGATTTCCCAGCAAGACCTGTATTTGTGTGCCAGATGCATAGCTCCACAGAACAATGAGGATAACATTCCTTTTTGTAATTATATTTATGTAGAGAAAACTTAGCAGTGTGCATTTAGCCCAGTTTAGTGAGAGTTCTTTAGCCTTTGCCTTTTCCAACTTGGCAATGCTAGCCACAGATTTAGGACCCAGGACATTGCCTCCCCAGAGGCGGCAGAGCTCATGGTATCTGTCATTTTAATTGGTCCTAATAGCCTCCACCAGCTTGGCCAGAGCACCTTTGTCTTCCGAGTTAACCCGTGTGAAGGCAACAGTGGTACCAGTCTTCCTGTGGACCAGCCGCCCCAGCCTGGGCTTTCCCTTGATGATAAAGTAGAGGGACCCCCTTCTTTCAACCCAGGGCACGTGGGAAAACCACCAGCTCAATGGGGTCTACATCATGGGCAGTCACCACCAACTGCACCTTCTTGTTCTCCACCAAGGTGGTGACCGTATTGACCCCTGCTTGAAGGGCAAGTGGTCTCTTAGTTGGGGCATCCCCTTTCCCAGCAGCTTTCTTCTCAGCAAGGGCCAGTAGCCTCTTTTATCTCTCCTGCTTTGTCTCTGGCCTGTATTTGCAAGCAAGCTTAAGCAGCTGGGTAGCTGTTTGTGGGTACAGGGCCTGGGTGAACTGGTTAATGGCAAGAGGTACTTGGAGCCACTTATAGAGGATGGCCCTTTGCTGCTGCAGCCTGATGTAGCAGGGCCATTTGACCAAGCGTGTGAGATCTCTTCCAGGCTGGATATCCTGCCCAATACTGAAGTTCTTGGGCCTTTTTCTCAAACAGAGGATTGACCACCTTTTTGGCTTCCTGTTTCTTCATGACAGTGGGGGCTGCGGCCACCTTCTTTCCCTCAGCCTTCTTTCCTTTGGGCAGGCTGGAGGAGAGAGCTTCCATTCCATTCTTGCCTCTGTATTTAGTCACTGGTGACACTCAGAGTCACTGACAGTCAAAGGAGAGATTCAGCCAGCCATGGGTTGCAGGCATCTCCAGAGAAATCCAAGCTTGGCTGATGCCATGGTGACACTGAATGGCATCAGCCAAGTCAGGGTTGAGAGAGAACAGGGAGTTCACAGGAAAATAGGTATCTGAATATTAGCACTGGACTAAATATATAATATTATATATGATAGATAATATCATATGGACTATGATAGCTCATGTTTCCTCATAGTTGGAAACACTGAGACCTAGGGAGGATAACGTGGTTCCACAGGTGGGGACAAATGTGCCTGTTTGTCTGGGGACTGTCGGGGTCAAACGGGTGATATCAAGTGGTGCACGAGAGAGGAGAGTGTTTTGAGGAGCACAACAGGAGGGAAGTGGAAGTGCAGAAGACTTCTGTGCAGCTCCATGCATCTGTCACCGGCACTGCGAACACATGTTCATCCATCTCAGAGAGCTACATGCACGCTCTCTGGTCTCAGAAACTGCGGGCTGCATCTCATTGTCTCAGAATAAGGCCTCTCTACAGAGGCAGCTTCCCAGGAGGCTGGAGTGATGGCTGATTTTCAGGACAGCAGAAGCCCACTGGATAAACAATTCCTGTGCCACTGCCTACGTATAATAATGTCTCCTTTGAGAAGACCCGAGATAAGATTTCTGCAGGTGCGAGGTATAGAAGCAAGAACCCGCTCATGTTATTTTCTGGTAAACACAGACAGGGAGAAGTGGCACCTTGTTAAAAGAAGAGTTAGAGATGGAAGTGGATAAATAAAGAGATTTTTTTTAAAACACAAAAGATGGAAATTATGCTCAAGCTGCAGAAAATGAGCACATGTCTATAAAATGGAAAAATGGAAGTAAATTTGAGAATGCATTTGCTTTGTGACAACAATAAAATTGGAGAAAATGAGGAATTTATGAAATAAAAATAGAAGCTGAGCTGTTTAGACACTAATCATATGAAAGGGAAGTAGCTGGATGTGGGGAACCAAGAGCTCAATGGCAGAATTAAAACCCACATTGGAAACTATAAAGAACAGAATTGACACTGCAGAAAATTGAGTCAGTGATGTGGAAGGTACTATAAAAAAATGCTCTTATAATACAGAAACAAAAGACAAGGAGATTAAAACAGCGATGGAAAAGAAATATGATGGATAGAGCACAGAAGTACAAATCTAAGATACAAAGACTCCTTCCTGGGCAAGCAGCGAGATTAAATGTGCGCATACATTCATCAGGCACACAGTGGAGAATCTGCCCCGCACGGACAACCCAGGATGAAATGCGGCCTTGAAACCTAAGCAGGAGGACTGAAAACAAAACAAAACAATACTACAACACACCCTGCTGACATGTTTTCCTTTTAGGAACAAATGTATCCCCCAGGATACATTTTACTCCCCAGGAGTAAAAATCAAACGCTGAAGTCATTCCAATATGCGGTGTACCAGCAACCCCAGGTCTTTAAAGGAAAAAGCTTGAGACCTGGCAAAATGCTCCTCAGTGGGCAAACTCCAAAGGCATTTTGAGACAAAGCAAAAAGCATTTTCATATTTAGCAGATGAGAATACAGAGTATCCAGCATGGAACTTCAGATTAGGAAAGGATTATTCTCTTGTTATAAAACATCTCCCTCCTGTGTATTGCACAGAACATACTGATTCTTTAATTGCTCCTTATTTGACATTTGGCTGTAACTGGGTGTCCTGTATTTAAATGGTAATCGTAGTCATTGGTCTGTTGCCTGCATAGGCTTCTGTATGTGTCAGTATAGCTAGGTGGTAGGCTTGGACCACAGAGGATGAAGATGAAGAAGACATTGCATCGCCTAAGGTAGAAGAAGAAAATATGAATGATACTCACCAAGAGGTCAGAATAGCCCAGGTTATACTGCAGAGAATCAACTAAACCTCATTGTCTTAGTTCAATATGAGCCAATTTCCCAATCGCACATGTCCAAGACATTGGGAAGAGAGCGCTGGTCACTCAAATGTTCAGACAGCTGCTGATAATGGCTCTGAAGAGTGCCAGAAGTCTTCAGTTGCTTCACTCCATGCTCCTGCTCACCTGTCAGGGGTCAGAGCAAATCGTACTGAAAGCCTCTTCTGAGGACCTGCAGCTCTACCATGCACAAGCCTACATCTGAAGACTGTAGCCCTAACATACAAAATCCCACCTCTGAGGACCCGTAGCCCCTACTATTGCAAACTTTCCTCTAAAGAGATGTCTCCCTACCCTGTGCAAGCTTGATTATTGAGAAGCTCCAGTTCTACCAGGTGTTCATCTACAGAGCTGGACTCCTACCATGTGCAACCCCGCTTTGGAAGATCTGCTGCCCTGTCCCATGTAAGCCTACCTTTGAGAGGCCATGTCCAGAAGGAGAGCTGAAGTGTTCAGATTTTCTCAAAGTAAAAGAAGCTATAAAATGTGGCGTGTTGGCACTATTCCAGGAAAACCATGTCAGCGAGGAACTCAGAAGATGGCTCGGTCGTAAATTTCTCACTGTACAATCATGAGACCTGAGTTTAGTCCCTAGAACCCTTATATTAAAGAGAGAGAGAGAGAGAGAGAGAGAGAGAGAGAGAGAGCGCCAACATGTGTGATGGGATGCATTTGTAATCCCAGTGCTGAGAAGGCAGACAGGCAGAGCACTGGGGCCCACTGGCCAGCCAGCCTAGCCTAATCAGAAAACTCCAGGAGAGTGAGAGACTGTCTTAAAACAACATAGGTGCATGGCTCCTGAACATCATCCAAGGTTGACCCCTGGCCTCTATGTACACCAACATGAACACACACGTACACACATACACACATACATACACACACACACCAGAAAAACAAATTTTAGTCAGTAGATAGATGTCAACATAGCAGATAGGCAGGTGGTTCACCAATGATGATGATGATGATAATAATGATTTGCCACAAATAAGACTCTTATCATGTGAAGAATGACACAATTCATAACAAAAATATAATTGCTAAGGAAACAGACACCCATAAATTGGCTAATAAATATCCAAACATTCAACCTCTCTACCAATAAAAATAGCATCATTATTACAGCATTATAACATAGTATTCTTTTATTATTATTATATATTATTATTTTTACCTATCAAATTGACAATGACTTAAAGTCTGTAATACTCAAATCGTTGTGAGTGCTGAAAGTGGCCTTTAGTGAGGTAGATATAATTTGGCTCTATAGTATTAAAAATGCTGAAGGTTGATAGTTACTGATCTGGTTTTAATTTTTTGAAAAGAAATTTGTATAAAGACAAACTGGCTTGGATACTTGTAGTAGCAAAAGCTAAAAGGATAAATGTATCAGCCAGAGACTGAAAAACAGAGCAGCTGACTAAAGAAGCACTTGATCCATGTACCCTGAAGCCATTTTGTCAGCACAGGCTGAGTCATACAGGGAGAGCCTCACATGATAAGTGAAAAGATGAGAAGTAAAATCACATTTTTGTGCCAATTTGGTATGATTATATAACTGTACACAGGTCTAAAAATATATACTGATTGACAGACAAAAAAAAAAAAAGCACAATATTTATGATCAAAGCCCACCCTTGCTGGTGGTGATGCCTTTCTTATTCTACTTTCCTGTGCCCCAGCTTTTTCAGCTGTAGCAGGAAGAGATGGAGGACTACCCAATTCTCAGTACTGCGAAGATTAGAGGCTGTGTATCGGGTATGGAGTTCATCTCCTTGTGGTGGCTAGCTGTGGTGACAACTATTTGACACCATTAAGAACAGGGTGCACTGCACAAATTTGCCTGGAACTTAACATTCTTCAGCACCGCCTCAAAATGATATGATAAATAAAATTTTCCCGAGGACAAGTATGTTAAAGAGCCGACTGACCATTGTCTTTAAGACTGAGTGTCTAAGGGAGAGGTCAGAGAGGCAATGAAGGGAAAGAGGAGGAAGGGAGGAAGGAGAAGGGACAGAAACACAGACAGTAAGCAAATGATAGGCACAGCCATATTTACCTAAATGTAAAGGTCTGCCCTGAGGCCTTGTGGGGTTTCTGCTTTACCAAAACCCCATAAACTTTGGAGAACACATGGGTGAGGCTAGTGATGGAAACTCCAGAGCCACTCATCTCAGTAACCATCCTAAGCTAGTAGAGAAACCAGGCTTTGTCCTCCAAGCCTTGGTAGTACCCGGATTATCATCTCGGTATTCTTATTAGTTTGTTTGTTGTTAAATGAGTCATGTGACTACCTGGAGCTTCCCCTCACCTGACAACTGCACTGATCATCACCACCTTGTGAAGACAGGCCTTTCTCTGAAGCTTATCAGCTCCTGAGGTGCATGTATACAGGAAGTTTATCCAGGTTTGGCTGCCGGCTGGCGCTGTGTCTTTGTAGGAAAACACCACGGTGGTTAAAGTAGGCCTTTCAAGGAGCTTAGAGCAAAAGCCAAAAGCTACTGTAGAGAACCTTGTCAGTGGTGTGAGGCAAGCTCCCCTCCCTTTGCCCTCCCCCATGGGGGACCAACAGGCTGGTCTCTCTGAAAACAGCCTCTCGATCAATTCATTGACCACAGACCGGTGAGACAATGGGACCTCCAAGGGGCCTTGCTTTGCCCACTGGAGCGAAGGTCAGCATCAGATGCATTAAGAAATGGAAGCAATTTTCTTCCCACTGGAGGCTTCTATTAGGCATGATTGCCTGCATTTAGACAGACCCTAAACTCTCCGGGCTGAATTAGGACAGGATCACAAACAAAATCTGGAGAGGAACCAGGCCCTGGAGCTGCATCCCTAACCAAGAGGAAAAGAACGCGGCAAAATGGCAGTTTGACTCTGGTTCTTCTCGCCCACTATGTCATATCCACGGATACGCATGTGCAGAGTGACCAGCCCCTGCGGTTTCTGCTTATGCTTCTCTTTTCTTTTCTGTTTTTAATGTTGCTTTTTATTTTTTAATTTATTTTTTTTATACTTTATTCAATTTATACCCCGGTTGTAGCCCTTCCCTCGCCTCCTCCCAGTCCCACCTTTCCTCCCTCTTCCCCCCTATCCCCCTGCCCCTAGACCACAGAAAGGGGAGTACTCCTCCCCTGCCATCTGACCCTAGCTTATCAAGTCTCATCAGCACTGCCTGGATCCTCTTTCTTCATGGTCAGGCAAGGCTGCCCCACCAGGGGGAAGTGATCAAAGAGTGGGCAACCAAGTCCCTATCAGAGATACCCCCTGCTCCCCTTACTAGGGAACCCATGTGGAGGATGAGATGCCTTAGGCTACATCTGAGCAGGAGGTCTAGGTCCTCTTAATGCATGGACCTTGATTAGTGCATCAGTCTCTGCAGCACCCCTTGGGCAGAGAGATTTGTTGGCTCTGTTAGTCTCCTTTAGGAGTTCCTGTCCCCTCCACAGGTCCTTCTATCTCCCCCTTTTTTTTATAAGACTCCCTGCACTCTGCCCAAAGTTTGGCTGTGAGTCTTAGCATCTGCTTCCATCCCCTGCTGGATGAAGTCTTTCAGAGGACATCTATAGTAGGCTCCCATCCTGTCTCCTCTCTTCAACCTCTTCTCATGTCTATTCTATTTGCCCTTCTGAATGAGAATTAAGCATCCTCCCTAGGGTCCTCCTTGTTAGTTACCTTCTTTAACTCTATGGATTTTAGTATGGTTATCCTGTATTATATGGCTAATATCCATTTAGAAGTGAGTATATACCATGCACGTCTTTCTCATTCTGGGTTACCTCACTCAGGGTGATCTTTTCTAGTTCCATCCATTTGCCTGCACATTTCATGATTTCCTTGTTTCTAATAGTTGGGTAGTATTCCATTATGTAAATGTACCACAATTTCTGTATCCATTCTTCAGTTGAGGGACATCTAGCTTGTTTCCAGATTCTGGCTATTATGAATAAAGCTGCTATGAACATGGTTGAGCAAATGTCCTTGTTGTGTGGTAGAGCATCTTTTGGGCATATGCTCAGAAGGAGTATAGCTTTGTCTTGGGGTAGCACTCTTCTAAATTTTCTGCTTGTGTTTTCTAACCTCTGCCCCCTCTCCACTGCCCACTGCCACTGACTCACTCTGACGCTCTTTGGCTATCCATCTTTTTTACCCTTAATATGAGGCCATGCCCAAAGACAGAGTGAACAGCTCCAAGGCTCTCTCTCCCTGCCAGACAGCTTACTGTCAAATCAGAGAGTAGATACTTCTCATAAAAAAAAGTCTAAGGATTATAAAGGAACATTTGAAAAGCAGAATATCATCAAATGAGTAGTGCAGAGGCTTTTGATGGAAGGGTCTGTGAGCCACAGAGTGAGGCCTTCCTAGAGTGAACTTTTGGATAACATTAGTGGTTCCCATAAAACCAGAAGGCAATGATGCGGGAAACAGCAATCCTAAAGTATTCCAAATAGCTGTCAAATCATCACCTTCCAGGCTACAAGACAGAGGAGCTCCTCCCCTCCCCTCCCCTCCCCCTCCCCTCCCCCTCCCCTCCCCCTCCCCTCCCCTCCTCTCCCCTCCCCTCCCCTCCCCTGCTCCTCTCTGCTGGTTTGGCTGTTATCCTGTGAAACCAGGTGGTGCAGAAACCATTCACCTTGACCCACTGTGGGGTAGTGTCTGGGTAAACCTATCACGAACTGGAAATAGCGAGGCAGAAATGCATTCAGCACACCCAAACTACAGAGCACAGCTTAGCAGCACTGTAGCCTAGAAGCTTTAGGCTTTTCACCACCAACTGGGCTGGATCCCCTGACACTGGCTGCTGTGCAGTACTCTGACAGAGCCTGTCACTAGCCAGGGAAGTTCACAGGACATTTTAACTAAAAGGGAGTGACTTTCCTGCCTTCCTAAGGTTGAGAGATCTCAAGTTGAACCAATTTAAGTCAGAGACTGTAAGCCTCTAGTGTTCACTATTGTCTGTCTCTGTCTTTGGAAGCCCCTGGGAATAGATTCTCACATTACAGTTCTTTCAGATTATGCCTAGCACTTACTAGGTACTTCTTGCTAATTGATTTAAACTTGAACAAATCAACTTGTATCTCTCAAGTTGGAGAGGCAGAGAAGACAGGCATCTAACTACAGGCTGTAGCTTTTGTCCTGTTCTGCAGGGACACTCCTGAACTCTCCGTGCACTGCTTCCCTGTTCTTCCCCTGTAGCTCTGCTTTGGCCTCTAGCTGATGTGTGTGTTGTCTCTTCCTCCCAGGCCGAGCCCCTGTATGAGCTTGTGACAGCCACAGACTTTGCCTACTCCAGCACTGTGAAACAGAACATAAAGAAGGCACTAGAAGAATTCCAGATGGAGGTCAGCTCCTGCCACTGTGCTCCTTGCCAAGCCAATGGAATCCCTGTCTTGAAAGGTACCATTTTTCAGAGCACTGGGGTCCTTTGTGGAAGGCATATCCAAGGAGGCTGACTCTGGGACAACAATTTGCCCACTTTTACTTCCCAAGAAGTCAGAATGGTGGCAGCAGGGGGATTGTGCTTTGGCTGTCAGAGCACCTGTACTCCAGCCTCACGGGGCAGCTTTAGCTGCTTGGAGCTGTGAGCATGTAGTCTACCTTTAGGTCAAGGATGAATTTGGCCAAACTCTAGACAAAGAAGAGGGCCTGGGCTGAGCCAAAGAAATCCTTTGTGAGTGTCCTTGCCAATATGAGGTGAGAAGAAGGTTTGAGGGTGGCATCACGGGCAGACTAACAGAACTTGGTGAGTAACTGACAAGATCGTGCCTAGAATCTTTACAGTGAGTGGGGCAAACTGGGAGTGGTGAGGTTACAGTCTCAGGCTTGTTATGATGGGCTGTCAAGACTGACATTCCAGCACCCTAAACAGGATAGCAGGAGCCTCTGATTACTCCTCAGCTCAGGGATCCAGCTGGTGTCAGGCAGGATCCTCTTAGACAGAGCAAGCCCAGAAGGAGTTTTGCAAGAGAAAACATGTTTGAGGGGATGCAGGTTCCAGCCCAAGAGTGGCACTGAGAGATATGTGTCTGGTTTCTCAGACAGAATGGCTAGGAGCAAACTGGCAGAGTCCAGGGTGTGGCCTACAGCTTCCTCCATCAGCATAAGGCCCACTTCATGATGGTCATTTCACAGCAGCTCAGGGTTTAGGTCTAGGATTGCTATAGTTTTTCTTGCCTTGCAAAAAGCTTAGAACTAGCAGCTGATGTCTAGCAGCTTGTAGAATAGAGGCACGGAGTAATACGAAGTCAGGTGAGGACATTCAGAGAGTCTGTTTTCACAATCAGATGAGAGGCACCCCAAGGGGCATATTCCAGATCAACATAGAGAAGCACTTCCAAAGGTCCAGAACTTGACAAAGAAAGGTAGGGAAACACTCAAAGAGTGGGGAACCTTCCTAGAGGCACTTAAGGAGAGACTAGACTCTTGTGGTGAACGATGACTTGTCTCTCAGAAGCTGCTAATGTAGCATCTGACCCTGAAAGCATATAAATGTGAGTCAAAGGTCAACTATGGAGCAATTTTCTCAATAGCACCTCATGATGGCAATGTACACCCCTTCCTGAGGACCCCTCCTCCTCAGGAAAAGAGCAGGTCTTTGGCATTGCACCTATATGTAACATAACATCCCACCCACTGTCTGGTTCACATGTCTACCTGACAGAAATGTAGTTGCTTGGGATTGAGCTGCCGGGTCCTGGTTTTACAGGGTGTGATCACACTCTCTGCCTGTTTTCCTCAGGGTCACGCTGTGACTGCATCTGCCCTGCTGGCTTCCAAGGCATAGCCTGTGAGGTCACCAATCGGGAAGGTAATGAGTCTTCTAGAGTTGCTTGGGTAAATAGACTATGGGAAAATGTCCGAAGTGAACAAGAGCAAGGTGGGATGTGGACAAGGAGGCTGCCGTTCCTGTAACACGCCCCACCCCTCCGTGGAATTAATCCGTTCCTGCTGTAGATGCCCATAGGATTTTCACACTGTATATCCTCTCCCTCCTTCTGTAAGTAATGTCACATCCCATTGCCTTCTGTACCTCCATGACACAGGCACAGTTGTCCCTCATCTATAGATAGATGATAGATAGATAGATAGATAGATAGATAGATAGATAGATGATAGTTAGATGAATGACAGATGATAGATATCTCACAAATGAAAGACTAATAAACTTCCCTTCCCACTCTCAAATCCTTTGTACATTCTGTCATCTGAGAATTATCCTTCCCCATAACTTTCTTATGTCCTTAAAAATGGACCTAATGGATCTGATAAAGAATTGGACATTCTTGTATACTTCAATGTATTCTGGGCAACTTGGCTAGGTTCTTGACCTAAGTTTGAGTTCAGATTTCATCACCATCACTTAATAACTCTGACTTTAACAAGACACTTGATCCCCAGCATCTGTGAAATGGACATGATCCTATTTACTACTGCACAGAGATGGCTTGAGTTTATAATGAGGCATCTAAATCTTTTATAATGATGGTTGCTATCCAGGAAAAGAAAAATAAGCACTACTTGCTTTATTTTGGATTTGTAATTTATATTTTAGACATAGAAAATAATTCATTCTTTGCAATTCCCCCATGAAGTCAATACTGATGACAACTCCATTATATAGATGAAGAAGCTGAAGATCAGCAGGTTGCCATTCGCAGTGAGAGCAGGAATCTGGTCCAGGTTAGGTGGTGTGACTGTCTAAACAGCATTTGAGCATGTCCTTCTACCTCATGGTTGGCTTTGCTCTCTTCTCTTGCAGCTCACCCAGGTCTTAAGGAGTGACCTCAGAATGTAGAATCACTTGACCATGGTGTTTCTTTTTGGAAGAGACCTACAAAACCATCTACTGTAGCATTTTTATTTTGCACATATTTATCACAGGGAAGCAACTGGTTGCTTACCAGTCTCATCTATGCCCAAAGCCACTCCTTATGTAGACACCACGTATCAAGGAGTAGCAGTGATATTTGCCTCATTTAAAGTATACCACACTCACAGCAGATAACATAGTTATCACACACGAGAAACCATCCAGTATGTTAAAGTACTTAAATCTGCAAGACACCCCTCCATCCATCCCCCCTCCCACCCACTCATCTTCTTATCTACCCATCCCATCAATCTGTCCGCACCTCTGTCCATCCACCCACCCATCTACCAACTCATCTATCCACCAATATGTTTATCCATCCATCCATCCATCCATCCACCCACTCACCTATCTATTTACATATCCATGCATTCATTCATCCACCCACCCACCCACCCATTCTCCCATCACTCATATGTACATCTCTGTACCTAGTCACCTACCCACCCACCCACCCACCTATTCATCCTCTTACTATCTATTACTTATTTGCGGAAGGCCTTCGGTATGGCAGCCTAGATGTTGTGATTCATTATGACCTAACCAGGTATAGCCCCTGTCATCACAAAGATTGTGGTGTAGCAAGAAAGACTAATGCTATTTGCCGTTATTCTGCAAACCCATTTAAAGATTTCTATACAACAGCTGCCTCAAATGCTCTGAGAGCTTAAAACACAGGGAAGGGATGAAGAGTTAAGGATCCTGGGCTTCTCTGAAGAAATACATGTTTACTGAGATCTGAAGGGCTAATAGGATTGATAATGTCAATAGAAAAAGGAAAAGTACCCTGGGCAAGGAATAATTGCAGAATATGCATATACCCGTGATAGGTTAGAGCCGAGAGAACAATGGCCTCATTTGAAAGGGAGATTTCAGAGATTCAAATTCCAAAACCCAGTTGGCTCATTCCTACCCCACCTCCTAGGACCAGAGAGCATCGTAAGGGCCGATTCGCATTCATTGTCCTTTTTTCTTATAGATATCCCCATTGACGGAAAGTGGAGTTGCTGGTCCAACTGGTCTTCATGCACTGGAGGACGCAAAAGAAGACAAAGGCAGTGTGACAATCCATCGCCTCAGAAAGGAGGCAGCCTCTGCTCAGGCCCTGCTTCGGAAACGCTCAGCTGTTAGAGAAGGGAGCACACCCAGCAGGTGACCTGACCCAGCAGGCGCTCTGGACCTCACAGACCCAGCCGGGCTTCCCACAACCAGCTCCCACACAGAGCTGCCACACACACACACAAAGGCAATGCCACTCTGCCTGTGAAAGATTTTACTTTGTTCAGTGGCTGTTTATTTGAATAAGCAGTAGGTTGAACAAAACCCTAAGTCCTTGCATGACAAACTTCCTTTGCTCACTCTGTACTCTTATTACCCTCGTGGTCTAGGAGCCAGAAACCATCTTGGTCACTACATAGCGACAAAGGCAGATAGTAGGTGTTTAATAATACAACAGTAAATTGATAAGAAGATGTTCGACCCTTGGTAAGCACACAGTCTTGTTCAGTAATAATGACAGCCAGTCTCTATGAAATGATTTCTGTGTGCCACCAACCCATTCCCATGACACCCTCACAAGACAAATGTAAGAAAAACAGGCTTGGGAGGCTGTAACGACTTTTTCCAGGTCATTACAATTAGGCAATGGCAGAATCGTGCTGCAAACAAGGCTCCAGAATTGTAAATTCTCAACTATGAGGTTTGTCTCCTTTTCTGAGCAAGCATGTTGTTAGCAAAGAACTGTTCATGAAATAAAACGCAGCAGAAAGCCGTGTGTGCTTATGGGGGGGAGGGGATGTGCACTGTGCAGGTGTGTGTGTGTGTGTGTGTACGAGTATGAGTGTGCTCTTGTGCATTTTATGTTACTGACCGGTCTGTGCCTGCTGCCTTGCCAGGAGAGTGGCTTTGGCTCCCTTAGTTTCTTTGATGCTGAGTGGAGGCAGCGAAGTGTGTGGCAACAGAAATCATGGATCAGCCCTGGATGGTGATCAATGACAGAGCATGCCTGGGAGCCAAGGAAAACTGATCACTCCAAGAGAAAAGGTTCACAATGGAAAGAGAAGGTCGCCGTGGCTAGAAGATAGGTCAAGGGGCTGTTGACTGTGGGGTGTGCTCTGCCATCCCTCCATCCCTCCTCTGAGATACTGTCTGCACATTCCACTTTGCACACTGGGCTTTTGTGCAAATCCTATTTAGGGGGATGAGAGCTTGAAGAGGTTAATGGGACAGCTACCGATGTCCAGGCTCTCAATATCATTTTCTTTTAATGCTAAATAGTTAAGTTCCATATTTCTTATACATTCCCTCTTTTTATTGCTCTGTTTGCCCGTGGGCATGTCTCCCTGATTGAGGAACTCCAGGAAAGTTGATTCTTGAAATAAAATGGATCGGGAAAAGCAGTTTGGTAAAGGTAAATGTTGGTTCATCAGATTCATTCACCATCAGTTGTTTTCAGCCAAGTCACCTGCTCTGCATCTGCAGCAGCTGGATTTGGTACCGGACCCTGAGGGTTAAACAGATCCACGGTACCCAAACTTTCCTCCAGCCTGGCCTGGCCAGCTCTCTCCAGTGGAGTCAATAGGAAACTGCAAAGTAGCTGAGGATTCAGTGCCTGGGGCAGTGACAGGCATCATAGCAGGTCTGTCTGCATTCCCCGTCCCCTGCAATCGAACTGACGGGTCTGGGCCCTTGTTTAGCTTAATATTATTGCTTTGCTGTCTGCTGTTATTTCAACAGGATAATGCAATAATGTTTTATCTCTTTCATTATACGGAGGCCGTATAATTTTCTTGAGTTATAATCTATCTTCTTTTAAGATTCCCCCGAGACAGGGAAGAGCCGCTCTGTCTTTGGTTGACGGGAGGCAACCAGGAAGCTGACAGTAGCGCATGGAAGCAAGCACCGCCAAATTAAATTCTGAATCTCAATCACAGCCAGCACTTCTAATGGGAAACTTGAGTTGATTATGGAGATGACAGCCCAGGTTCACATTTATTGCATTTAGCAGAAATTGTTTATCCTATTAAATGCGGTCTTCAAGGAGAGACAATTGAATTGTGAAGCACCACTGAGTACCCGGGTGACGCCCAGGCACTGCTAAACTGTGTAATAATTATATTCTTATTTGTGGGCTGAACTTTCCCCACGTGGCTCTTTCTGCAAACAAATGCGCTTAGGAGGAGATTGAAACGTAATGTAAGAATTAAACAAAATGAATGCAAACTGTGCTCTTGGAGTCTTGGCAACTGTGACTAACCCTGTGCACCTCTGCTGAGCCAACGTATTCTGCGGGCAGTGAGGTTTAGCAGTGGCCCTGAACTGTGAGTACGAGTACAGCCCCAGGTACCTGTGCGCGAGGGGTGTCTGTATCCAAGAGGAGGATCTTTAGAATGCCGTTAGCTCCCCTGCACACTGAATGCCAGGGAAGCAGGCTTTCCCGAGTGACTTTGGGCTAACAGCATAACTTCTATGGGGATAATAACTGTTGTAATTACTTTAACAAAAGTAATAATAATAATAATAGCTGCTAATTACAGAGTGTCTCCCAGTTTATGAAGTCTTTAACCTGAATCATCTTGTTTAATTTTTACCTAAGTTTGATGGAGTAGAATTTATGCCAGCAGATGACAGAGGAAGTTTCAGGTGAAATCCAGCTTCTTACCAAAAATGGGCCAACTGTAGCAAGCAGGATGGGGTATGGGGCCATGAGGGAGCTGCTGCTGGCCAGACTACAGGCAGAAAGGACCATCTGTGTTGGTTTTTTGTTTGTTTGTTTGTTTGTTTGTTTAAGAAGATACTCAAGCTGGGCAGTGGTGGTGCATCCCTTTAATCCCAGTACTCAGAAGGCAGAGGCAAGCATATCTCCAAGTTTGAGTCCGGGTGGTCTTCAGAAGGAGTTCCAGGACAGCCAGGGCTACAACAGAGACACTCTGTCTCAAAAAAGCATAGAAGAAGGAAGAAAAGGAGGAGGAGGAGAATGACATCAACAACAACACTGTGACTCTCAAGCATTTATAAAAAATCTTTTGGGAGAAAATGTGCCTGGTGCAGAAAGCCGTTAGCAATACCCTCAGGAACCCACATGACTTCATCAATGGAGATAATACCCTGCCCCTGCCTGTAGGATCTTACACATAGCAGCAGCATGAGCTTATCCTATTCAACACATCCCCCAGGTGTCAGCTGTTTCTTCCTTCTGTCGTTTTTGTTCCTGTGAAGATAAGATGCATCATAGGGCCATTACGAAGGCCTGTAATAAAGCTACAGTCCTCTACTTAGAAACACTGGAAGGCATTGGAAACCTTAAGTGGTAGAACATGATGGGAGTTTTTAGATCGCTGGGGATAAGCCCTCAAATGGGTTGTAGAACCCTACTCTAACCAACCATGACAAGGATCCAAAAGAATCCTTTCTTTTTTTTAAGCTTACAGTCTCAGGTGTTTGGTTATAGTAATGGAAAGCTGACCAATGGAGAATAGATGTTTTTCTCTGTTACCACGTCACTCTACACTTTCCCCACAGTAGCATTCAGCACAGCACTTTCTTTTGTAGATCAAAGACATTGGTTATTGTAGTGTCTGGCGCTATAATAAATATCACGTGAATTAATGGACTAGTGAAAAGGGATCAACAGGGCCAAGGGGAGGGCTGCCCCACACTGGTAAGTAGCCTTAGTGATTTGGTGGTACACGACGAGAAATCAGGCTCAGAAACCCCAAAGAGAGACAGTGAAGCATCAATGGAGGGACCACACTGTTAAGCAGCTGTACGGTGAAGCACGGGAGGAGAAGATGCAGTGATGTCGAGAGGGTTGATAAGGCAAGTTTACCCCAGTGCTGGCTAAATCTGAAAGCCTGATAAGGAAGGACAGCAAGGGGCATAAGTAGTAAACTCCCATCTCCCTATTGGTGGGGAGGCAGGAGATGAGCAATTAGAGTAAATTGTCTTCCAATATTTGGGCTCAAATTTCATGTCCAAAGACAACCTGGAAGGATGCCATCCACCTGGATGGACACCTTCTAGGTCCTGCTTCCTCCACCACCTTTAGCAATGACCCCTTCTGATGTGAGCCCTGTTCTAAGTAAATTTTCTTTATTTTCTTTTTCCTTTCTTCTTTCTGTCCATCCTTCCTTTCTTTTCCTTTCCTTTTCTCTTTCCTTCCTTCCTTCCTTCCTTCCTTCCTTCCTTCCTTCCTTCCTTTTTTCCTTCCTTCCTTCCTTTCTTCCTTCTTTTCCTCCCACCCTCCTCCCTCCATCCTTTCTTTCTTTCTTTCTTTCTTTCCTTCTTCCCTTCTTTTTTGGGACAGGCCAGGTCTCATGTAACCCAGGCTGCCTTTAGACTTACTGTGTGACTGAACATGACTCCTTGAATTCCTTTTCTTGCCTCCACCTGGGGTTATTAGTATGCTCTATCAGATTCTGCTCTAGATTACCCTTTCTTTTTTTTTTTAATTTGTGGTGCTGGTGGTACTGTGTATGTGTGTTCGCCTGCACCCATACACAGCATGTGGGTGTCAGGTGCTTTCTGAACTCTATCACTCATATACATATATTAGATAGGCTTTGCCATTTGATCTGGAACTCTAGTTTTGGCCATCAAGTCCCCAGAATCCTCCTGTCTCTGTCTCCTCCTGACCCCAACTGGCATCAGGATTACAGCTGTATCCCACCATGCCCAGCTTTTATGTGGGTGCTTGTAGTCCAAATTCACATTATTTACTTAGCCATATCCACAGCCCCTAGTTGTCTCTCAAAGCTGGACTGCCCACATACAACCCGACAGCAGCATGTTGGAACAGCCCTGCTCAGTCAGGCCTCTGAGACACCCTGATCAGTGAGTGTAATCCTTTCCTCTTTGAATGAACCAGCCTCAATGATAGCCAGATCCTTACCCTGGGGCATTCAAATGCTTAAGTGTCTGTTGATAGAGACAGAGAGGCATGATGTTATACTCTCAGGGAGAACTAGAGATGCTGAGGAGAGGCTGTGTAGCAGAGCACGCCACAAACAGTGCTAATATCCGAGGCTGGGCTCAGTGACTGCTCTATGGCCTTGAGCAAGCTCTGGATAGTAGGTGCCTCTATCTCCTCACTGGTAAGAAGGGCACGACACCTGTCTCCTTCTGGGGCAATGGAGGCATTGTGTGGATCTCTGGTCCAGGAAGCACTCTTTACTTAGATACATCACTGCCGTGATCATTTTCAGGGATTCTCCAAACATCACTAAGAGAACCAGGTTGTTGGTTTTCTTTAAAACTGCTTTAGAGACATCTCAATGTAAAACCCACTACAATGTATGAGAATAAAAGGACATGAAATTGCTTAGCTTTCAGGGATATCTTAATAAAGGACATGGAGGGCTTTTCTCTCCCAAGCTCTGGGCTATTAAGGGAAATGTAACAGCATAATAACTAATATTTGCAGAGACCATTCCAGTGACAAAGAACTTCACACACCTAATCCAGGCCTAATCCTCTCAGTGCCTGCAAGGGGTGGATTTATTGTCTGCCAGTGACAGGTGACAGGAATGCCTTGGAGAGACTGAGTGACTTCCCTGACACCACACATCTCCAAAGCAGCCTGTGTAGTCCAAGGGTACTGCGGCTGTCCTGTACACCCTTCCACTCCAGGCAAAGCCGACCCAGGTTAGTCTCAGGGAAGTTGCCAATACCCACTCACACAGAGAGAGGCCTGCCATCCCTACCGTGCACAAATCAAAAGGATTAGGGGGTCTATGTGGCTTACAGAACAGGGAGACTGAAAACCATCCT